CTTTTTAACTAACAGAACATTTATATAGAGCTTCCGAATGATAAAACAATAATGGCTGCTAACACATACCACTCCTAGAAAGGAGAAAGGAGAGAGGACACATAAGATACACTGAGGCTATCCGCGCGTGCGCACATCTTCATTTCATGCTAGAATGTAGACACAACAGTAAACTATTACAAAGTGTCTATATAGATATTTATATTATGTGTATACGTCACATTTTTACAAGGTGTGTACTATAGGCACAACTATGATACGAAGTATCACACATACATATGACTTATACATTGTATATCTTATATACCGACGTCAGATTTCATCATTTTAATAATTATTTGTTACGTTAAAAAAAAATCTTTAGAATCTTGAGTGCATACGGTATACAACTAGTAAACACTGTATCACACAATTCTATCAATATAAACCTGCGTGTATCTCATATGTATATGTTAGAACTAGATGAACACTTAGGTTCACTTTAACATATTTTGTTCCTCATGTGTCTCCGGTGTAAAAACGTAATTTTATTTGGACGTGCTGTATGGGATGGTATTATACCAGATTATACTACCCTTTCTGGAGTCTAGCAGCAATAGTTTACATCAAAGTTAGCACACAGGGGATAAGGTATAATTTCTAACACCACACCTTCCAGAAACTCAGAATTTAAACACAAAAATAGGATTTCTGTTCGAATAGATCAAACACGAAAATGGGTTCAGGGATAAAGAACAAGCGCTTTTCAACAAATTTTCACCTATAATTTTGTCACAAATTTTTCATTGTGAGACCCTGAGTCGTTCGTTGTTTTTCGACATTGGTTGAGGTTAGGATAGAACTTCTGCTAGAAAAAGGCTAGAACTATGAGTATAAGAAAAAACTAAGTCAAACTCAACCAGTTTTGTTAGTTTCAGTCAGGCGGATGAAACGGCGGAGTTTCTGCCAGTAGAGGGATAGATGGCGCTGCGTAGCAATTTCATCTAAAGTTTAATTTCATCATGATTTTATCAAGTCATCCACAGAGTATAGTTTAATTAACAATTCGTTTGATTCTCTGTGGAGTAATTGGAGTAGTTGGAGTAGTTGCAAAATATAAATATTTATATAAAATGTTGATAATTTAACAGTGATGTGCTTTGTTACCCTATGAATAAACATTGATATGAAGTTGCTTTCGCCAGAAACAATTATAATTAAATAATTTAATAAAAATTTAATTTCTAAGTGACCCGGATCAGTTAGATCAGTAAAATAAATTGAAAAATAAACGTCATTCCATATCTGGCAATGTCTGTCAGTTTCTGTGAAGTGGAAGTGAATTGTGATTTGTTTTTATGGGAATATTTACGGATTTTTGCGAATTTAGAGTATTTTGGACGATAGGATTGTGAAATTTAAAAGCCAAGTAGTTTCATATATAAGATTAATTAATCCCTGTGATAATTTTTATGAAATTTCTCATAATCAAAACAAATTCTTTCAACAAAATGGCTGTCTCAGAAATTTGGAAGATCATTAATTTAAAGTTTTATTTAAGTGTATTTATATCGAATCAAGAATTTGTATAACATATTAAAAGCTTAATTTTAAAGGTTGTGCAGTAATTTATGTAAGTGTACGCTTTTAGATAAATATTAAATATACAAATTTGCAAAGACAAACAAGTAATTTTAAAAAGATCATTTATTTATTTAAACGAGTATAATCATTAATCATTAGGTTGAAAATATATTTGTATTTACTTATTTATATATTTTCTATACCCTTGTATTATTTATAAGCCCTATATGTCCTGTTTTATTTGAAAAAAAAATGCTTCGAGTCATCGAGAATAGATTTAATAACAATTTTGTCCCTTGGCTTTGTGTATTATATAATGTGAATTGTAAGATGTTTCTATTTGAATAGGTCATTAAAGTTGAGATTAAAGTTATACCAAATTATATTCACGGTAACTATATGTCTTTTATATAATGAATTATTTATTTATAATTTATAACCTTTTTTATAATTACTTATAACTGATTGTATAAATTCTGATAACTTTTATATATACTTGTATAGTGTTGAATGTGTTATATGTAATTTTATTAACAATGTTATAATAAAATAATCAAGTTACAAATTTTTCGTGTTTTATTCTAATTTCAGGGATAATTTCAACCTAATTATTAATTTATTTGTATCAAAATACATTATTTTATTTTGTAAAATGTTTTTGTTACAAAATAAGTTCATAATCTAGATTGAAATTACCAAATATAAGTAAAAAACTTATGAACTGGCAGTAAAGGTCCATTTAAAAATATGGCGCGAACTTTTAGTTCTGCCAGTAGCCCGCTTGGATCGCGTCGAGCGCGTGTTTCCAGGCTTTAACATAGGAGTTTTCATTTCTTTCAGTTAGTTATTCTATGGTTTCAGTCATTTTTAAGCCCATTCAACATCGACAGACGACTGAATTCACCTCGAATTTCACTAAATCAAAGAACTGAATAATACACGTACACGTCCATACGTACACGATACAAAAACAAACAACTGTCGAGATGGAATATTGTAATGCTTGGCTTTAAACATAGAGACAGACTGATATAAAAAATGTACCTACATTGATTAGTTTTGACCCAACATATACAACAAACAATATATTATACACCTTTTTTGTACAGGGTGAGTCTTAAATAAGTGCAAATATTTTTAGGGGTAGTATATTTCGACCCCAAAAACACGTTTATGAGGGTTTTTAGCGAAATTTTTTTTTTGAAAATTTGCAATTTTTTGAATCTAAAGAACACGATATCTTCATAATTTTATCTCTTCATAATCTTCATAATTATATGAAAATTTGCAATTTTTTGATAACATTTTTGGAAAAGTTTTTAAATTTTTAAAACACGATATCTTCATAATAAAGCTACTATTACACTATCAAATTTCTTTGTCAAATATTTTATTTAAAAGATATTTTCTAAAGAACTTGACAGTGTAATATATGAAATTTTATAGTGTAATAGCTGCCTAAGGCCCCCATTATAATATCAAATTTCTTTGTCAAAGATTTTATTTTACCAATACGTTGGCCAATACGCTGGCCAGTGCGTTGGGCCAACGTGTAGAGGGGACCATTGGTCGTGTTGGCGACACTGGCCGAGTTGGCCCAAGCATTGGCTACCGATCCGTCTGTTGTCGGTTTTTTCAAGACACATCAAAGAGAGTTGGTATTGATTGGTGATTGGTCGGTGATATTCTGCTGTGTGCATACGGGGTGTCTCAATATTCCCAGGATATAGATACTAGTTATTTTTTTGGAGTCAAGATAAGTTCATTGGACAACATTCTATCTTCACATCTAATAGTATGTAATTAGTTACTATTATGCAAATATATGTAAACACCTTAGTCCAGTATTACACTATTAAATCGAAAAACGACGAACGACTCAGGGTCTCACAATGAAAAATTTGTGACAAAATTATAGGTGAAAATTTGTTGAAAAGCGCTTGTTCTTTATCCCTGAACCCATTTTCGTGTTTGATCTATTCGAACAGAAATCTGTGTGCTAACTTTGATGTAAACTGTTGCTGCTAGACTCCATAAAGGGTAGTATAATCTGGTATAATACCATACGATCGAAAAAAACGGCGTCAGAGATTAATATTATTTTTCGAAATGAAGATTGTTGATATTTTGTATGTAAAATTATATGGGAAATGTCATCGATCGTCAGCCAACTGAACGCCGTCTTTTTTTTTAATGGTACAGTATAAATTGAAAGCTCTTAACTCATACAAATAAACTTCTAAATTTTGACGCAAAATTCATTGATATAATATGTAGGTATATTTTAGAGCTGTTAATAAAAATATCCAATGAATAACGTCAAAATGTGGCTAAATAAAACTAAATTGCAAACGTTTTTATTATAAACTAAGGATGAAGTAAGTATTGTCAAATAACAGTCCTCATATAATGTCCTAAAAATATTCTATAATGCTCCCAACATCATCCTTGTACCGTATGATCGAGAAAAAACGGCGTCAGCGATGGCTATGGAATGAAGATCATTTTATATGTAAATTTATATGGGAAATGTTTTTTTTCGATCATACAATATTATCCTATAAATATTTTAAATAATCGTAAAAGGTTTGCCTAGGGATGTCTTGAAGATGACTTTTTTGTCCCATCTGGATATCCCATAAATATCCTCCTCTGGTTTTTGGATATCCCTAAGATATTTACTATATCCTTGGTGGATATCCTCAAGATATCTATAGGATTGTGTTGTGTTATATGGGAAATAATATAAAATAGGTAATATTGAAAAACGTTTTTGTTAAAATTCTTTATTAGCTTTAAAATCTCTTAAATTCAAACAAACAATTTTCTATAAATTCTACTTAAAAAATACTAATATTAATTATATTAGACACACAAAAATATACGCAATCTTTCTAAAAGAAAAATGATTATTAAATGGAAGCACTCGACATGTACTTATACATTAACTTGAACAATATAGGTATAACAACATGGCACTTCTCAAACTAAACTATAGATATATTTTAAGTAAAATTGCTGGCAGCATTTGTAAAATATAAAAGCGTATCATTATAAACTTATATAATCTAGCTAAATAGCTGTAATATCACCCTTATTTAGCTGTCAAAACTTTTTTCAATTATAGTACGTTCGGGCACAGTAAAGATTATTGTGATTTTTAAGTCATAATAATTATTAAAAGTTAACACAACAAAAGAAAAACCATAAAAACAGATTAATATTATTTTTCAAACTAAAAACATTATAAAAAATGTCTATACGTTTGTGGCGGATTCACCTCTCCAAAAAAATTCTTTATGGATATTTCGCCACTGCACTGCAAAATCCGAACGGAATTTGAGAACGTCAACGGTTTCTTGTAGACGTATCTGTTTTAAAAAAGTAAAGTGTTCGGAAAGAGATACCTTCCGAAACGTTAAGCATTTTTTTCTTTGTTAGGCAAATGTGTATTACTGTAAACTCAAAACGCTGACAAGCAGCGTCCGTTTAGGTTTAACGCCCAGAAGTGTTTACAAAAAATAACTATTTTATTTTGTAAATTTTCTTGCAGTGCAGTGGCGAAATACCCATAAAGGATTTTTTGGAGAGATAAAAACATTATACTAATACAATATGATCGAAAAAAAAACGGCGTCAGCGATGGCTATGAAATGAAGGTCGCTGCCCTTTTATAGGTAAAATTATATGGGAAATATCATCGATCGTCATTTTCAAGCCAACTTGACGCCAGTTTTTTTTCGATCGTACGGTATTTCTTCATGTTTTAGTAGCTTTTATGAAAAGTAACATATATTATCACAGATAGTAGTAAATAGAAGTGTTCACTTATGAATGAGTTGGTCATAATTTCGATTATTCACAAAATTACCATCGTGGTCTTCAAATGGCAGGCTTTCGTAAACATTTTCTTTCCTATTTTGTTCACGACGCTTCTTTATGGATTTCTTGTGGATATATCTGAAAAGCATTGACATAATAAGTAAAGGTAAAATATTTAATATAATAGGAGGTGTAATACAAACAAACATATACCAGATGTTGCATCGTCGGGGGACATAGGAAATCCCATGTAAATTTTAATGGGGTCAATTATTGGGATCCCTAATTATTTTAGAGAATAATTCTATTTAGGTTTATTGAAGAGCACTAAAACCCACATTCAAAAGAATAACTTTAGATATTTTTTATTAGCTCGTTTACGAGTTATCGCCGGTCTTTTTAAATATTTCTCCTTTCTTATGGCCCTGTATTTACTTATGAGCACCAGTCAAGGTAAAAGATAACTGTCAAATGAAGTTGTCATTTCAGAAATTTACCTATTTAGTGCTTTATTTTTATTTTAAGTAAAAGCTCAAAAAAACAGGGCATGCTCAAAAACAATCGAAATGACAAGCTGATACTTAATTAGCGGTGACATTGACGCAGTTTTTTCGTATGCTATTATTAAATGAAAAAAAGTTTATATATTGGTACGCTCTTGTTCTCTAACATTTCGAATTATTGAAGTTCGTACGATCATTGCTTATATGTGTTTAATCTTACCTATACAACAGAAAACCTATTGGAACCAACAACAACATGAGGAACAACATATATAAGTGATTGAAACTTGAAGCTGGAGTAACTTGTGGCGGTTGAACTGGTAAGCTTGGCATGGTGAGTTTCTCGTAGTACACCACGTCGTGTTCTTTGCCATGATAATTGTTTGTAATTAAAAATGTTATGCAGTACTGGGTATCAGGCTTCAAACTATGGATATCATCTATCCCTTTGACTGTCAAATTACTCGATTTGTTACCTTTGACCTGGAAATTAAAACTACTGTAAATCTTCCATTTCTTGGAATGCACGTCTTGGGCACAAAGTAGATTTTATCCCCGCAAGGATTATTATGAAAGAACCGATAGCCTCTAAGAGCAAAACAAAAGAGACTTTTTTAATCCCATCTAATATGAATTAATGTATTGCTCAGGCATCTGTAGATTTTTTTAATGTATAAGCTATAGCTTCTTTGATTTAAATAAGCATAACAAAATATAAGTAAAAACTAAAAACATCAGTAAGTAATATTTGTTATCAGATTATAGCAATTGAAGGGTCCAGGGAAAGAATATAATAAGCAGCCATTTTACTAATATTACAGGAGAGTACTGGACGGCTGGTGGTTAACAGGTTCTTTCTGAGCATTGTATATTTTTACTAGGGACCAGTGGCGTAACTATCGATGTGCCGTGTGTGCGAAGCACACGGGCCCGGGCCCTCGGGGGGACCGAGCCGCCGCACACTGATTCGCTCTTATGGACGTACGTGGCCAAAACCTGTATATTATTATATCGGGGAAAATTAATGTATCAATTAATATTTTTTAGCAAATCTATAAATAATTTAGGCGTTTGGAGTTGCCAAACCTATAAAAAAAGTTCTTTATCGTTAGACGTTTTCACCATAGGTAAAGTAACGATGGTTCATCAGAATTTAAAAGCGCAATTTATTTACTCAATATTAATAAGTATTACTTTATAAAGATATTTAGGAAAATTAAAAACAACAAACAGAATGAACAACGGTTAGAAGATATGCGGTAAATCGTTGATAAGCTAATAAAGATACAGGGTGGCCCATAAGTGTGAGAAAGTTTATCGTCGTTGCGTAGACGAAAATATGAAAAAGCTATATAACATAGTATGATCGAAAAAACGGCGTCCAGTTGGCTGGGAAATGACGATCGATGATATTTCCCATACAAATTTACATATAAAATGACAGCGATCTTCATTTCATAGCCACGCCATGTTTTTTCTCGATCATAATGGTATTTGCATGTTTTATTATTAAGGTGCATATACTAAAAAATATTTTGTTGTATAAAGGGTGTCCCAAAGTAATGATAAAGTCCTGGGCTTTTTTAAATCATAACTCCCTCTTTTTCTTGTACATAATTTGATTCAGCATAAATGTGCATATAGGGACACTATTTTTATTTGAAAACTATGCGGTGTTGCTATGCTATTTCTTATTTATTAAAAATTTTCGTTAATAATAGTAGGTATATCCGAAAAATTGGTTAAATCTGAGGTTAATTTATATTGTTAATATCTAATGCTATACTCATGTTAATACCCTGTAATTAAACCAATATTTTCTAACAATTGAAAATAGAATAAATTTGTGAAGAAAACTATATCTTATACCGGCTATTTTTATGGCGTGGCTAACAATGAAATATTTAAAATGCTCTATTTCACTTTTAAATGCACATTTATAAACCATGCAACATTTATATAAGACGTTTGTTTACAAGACAATTTATGCTGAATAGCAGATATTAGCAGCTAATTTGACATGGTTCTCAAAAAGACATTATGAAGTTTCATTTAATAAAAACAATCACTTAGTCTCAGCTGCGATATCCTTGATTTAGTTATGTATATAAAATATATTTCACAGGTACAATATAATTTTTGATATTTTCAAAATGGTTAGTACTTATTTTTTTCATTTTTATCTGTCAAAACTGATATTATATGAGGAAAGTATACGTGCAGTATGGCTCCACTTATAAAATGCACTATTTAATATTATTTTTGAAAACACTAAGTGAGTAATTTATTCATTGTCGATACAAAACAGTTATATATGCTTTTAGACTATTGCATATAAAATGTTATCACATAAGTGCTCTAAAGTGCATGATTTTCCAAAATATATTTTTATAACAAACCTTTCATGTTTTTAAATATATATTATAAAATATTTGATCATATATGATCAAAATAATTTTTTTCGATATATTGAGTTTTGGCCAAATTTTTATAAGGGAGTGAACTACTGTGCGCCGCGCCATTCCCATATCTATCACATGCTATCGCGAATCAAGCAGAATCGGGCGATTCCGAACTAAGTTCTTATCTATCACATGTATTTTTAACTACTTAACTAGCACACGGTATCGCGAAAATAACTTATTACTTTACACTTGTTCTTGTGCAATTTTGTAGCTGTGTTTTCCTTTTTATTTTGGAAAATAAAAATAAATGGAAATATGTGATTTTTCATTAGAGCATTACATTTGACAAAAAAAGGAAATTTGCTGTATTGTCACTGAATTTCTGTACCATCGAATAGAAATAGAACTAAGCTAGTTGTAGCATCAAAAAGAGCATGAAAAATTATACTGGCCAAACTAGTTAACTCAAAACTACAAAAACTCTAGTTACCTAATGGTTGTATTAAGTGAACGATAAGGCAGCTGAGTTACGAGAGGTGCCCGAAACTGCCACTTTTTTTGGCAATTATTTCAATAGAAAATGAAGTTACTCGTACAATAGACATTGGTAATATTGTGTCAACTTTCGCCCATGCTAAAGCAAGGAAAAAAGAATTTTAACTTGTTCATGTTCCTATTTACATGTTTATTTTAATTTAGTTAGTTTTGTTGTTGTTTTTTGTTTTGTTTTTATTTATTTTTTTATTTATTTGATATTTTATATGTTTTGGGTTACATATTCTGTGTTGCAGTAATAAAATATGAGTGCATATTATTCAGATTAGTATATAAGTATTGAAATATGTAGGTGTAATAGGGGGCCAGGTAAATTTTTTGCACACAGGCCCGTGAATCTGTTGTTACGCCACTGCTAGGGACTAGTAGATTTTTGTAGGGACCAGTTAGACCTACTATAATACTGTTAAATCCTAAAATTAGGATGTTGACGCTTATCAAGTTTTTCCCCTGGACCCTTTAATTGTTACCACAAAATTTGCCTTCATAAAATATCATTTTAATTTTAACAGAGTGACAACGGTTTATAAATCCTTTTTTTGTCGTCGTGATTTGGATATTTTTTTTATTTTTCAAATTTTGAATGGAATATGTTCTCCAGTTTAATATAGGTAGTGTTTTCCTAAATAGGTAAAAACGGTTTACATATTTATTTACTGGTTTAACTATTGCGTATGCTATATTTTTCAAAAAAGCAACAAAATTCGAAAATGTGGAAGAATATAACCATAATTATAGGTATTATTTCTACTCTTAGGTGTACTTTTATAGTTTCGTGTATATCTGTATGCTCTAATATTGCATCCTTTCCTGGATTATTATTGAGAGCAGGTAATTTTGTATAAATTTTAATTTAGTTAAATTTTTTTTTTAAAGTTATTATTGAGGATTTTTTATTTTAATTTATTATTTTTAGGAGGCAAAATAAAACACTAATTTACCACAATACACCAAAACACTTCACTTTTGCACCGAACGCGTGTTTCGCTAACCATGTTAGCATCATCAGCAGATGATTAAAAACTGATGTTTTTAAAAGTAAAGTGTTTTGGTGAATTAGTGTTTAAGTGTTTATTTTTATTTTGCTGTTGTAACACCAAAGGTTACAACCCCCAACTGTAATTTTTAAGGAGATTTTTTATAAAAATCGGAGAATGATTCTTCTTCTTCTTCAAATGCCTTCTTCGTTGCGAAGGTTGGCAATCATCAGTGCTATACGTATTCGTGACACAGCCGACCGAAATAGTTGGTTTGTGGTGCACCCGAACCAGTCACGTAAGTTTCTCATCCATGAGTGGCGCCTTCTTGCTACACTTCTCTTTCCTTGAATTTTTCCTTGTAATATCAGTTGGAGTAGGTGGTACATTTCTCCTCTCATGACGTGTCCAAGGTACTGAAGTTTACGCTTGTTTACCGTTATGATAATTTCTTTTTCCTTTTTTATTCTTTTCAGGATTTCCATGTTGGTCACTTTATCGATCCATTTTACCCTAAGTATTCTACGGTACAACCATATTTCGAATGCCTCTAGTTTCCTTATGTCAAGTTTCTTCAGAGTCCAAGACTCTACACCATAATACAGCACCGACAAAACATAGCATCGCACCATTCTGATTTTTAAATCCAAGCTGAGATCGCTGCCACAGAGCACTCTTTTCATTTTCACAAATGTTGTTCTCGCCTGTCCTATTCTAGTTTTAATTTCTTCAGAACAGTCGTTATTTTTATTTACAATTGTACCTAAGTATTTATAACTGTCAACTTTTTTCTATAGTGTGGTTATTTATATGAATTGTGAATTGTTTGGTGTTGTTTTGGTTATTATCATAAATTTTGTCTTTTTTACATTTAGTGACAGTCCGAGCTCTTCACTCGATGTATTAACTTTATCTACTAATATCTATAAATCGTTTAGGTTGGCAGCCATCAGGATCGTATCATCCGCATATCTTATATTGTTGATAGGCACTCCGTTAATTTTTAGTCCTTTCGTTTCATCGTCCAATGCTCGTTTCATTATTTCCTCTGAATAGAGGTTAAATAACATCGGTGATGTTATTAGCACGCACTCCTGCCTAACGCCTCGACGGATTTCTATTTCTTCGGTGTTATTCCCTTCTATTTTTACCACTGCTTTTTGATTAAAATAAAGATTCGTAATAATTTTTATATCTCTGGTGTATAAGTTCTTTTCTTTCAGAACCTGGATAAGTTGTTCGTGTCTGACCCTATCGAAGGCTTTGTTGTAATCAATGAAACATATATAGAGATCCTGATTCATATCCATACATCGTTGGGCGAGAACGTTCAAAGCAAATAGTGCTTCTCTTGTGCCTAAGCCATCTTGGAAACCGAATTGAGTCTCGCTGATATCCTGTTCTAATGTTTTGTAAATCCTGTGATGTATCACCTTCAGAAGTATTTTTAGCGTATGACTCATTGACGGATTGTTCGAAAGTCTGTGCATTGCCTTGCATTACGTTTTTTCGGGATAGTGACGAACGCTGATAGCAACCATTCCCTGGGTATAATACCTGTTCTGTATATGGTGTTGAACAGATCTGTGTATGTTTTCCTCTTCTATCAACTTGAGAATTTCAGAGGGTAACTCATCATGCCCTGCGGCTTTTCCATCTTTTGTGATTTTTATAGCATGGATGACCTCTTCTTTAGTTATTTCCGGTCCGCTGTTTTCTTGTTCTGTTACTAGTCTGTTTATATCTCTCTCATCATCGAACAATTCTATTATGTAATTCTTCCACGTTCTTAGTTTTTCTTCCATTTCCATAATGATTTTGCCATTCTGGTCAGTGAGTATTGACGGTTGTCTTTTTTTCTGTAATCCTGCCAGTTCTTTTACTTTCTTGTGGACATTGAAGCTGTCATGCTTTTTCTTGAAGGGCTTCTATTTAGTCGCATTTTCTTTTGTAGAACACCTCTTTTTGCTTCTCTTATTTTTTGATCGGATTTCTTTCTGAATATTCTTATATGCGTCGTTGTTGTCTTTTACACCACGTCGTTCGTTCATCAATTTCAAAATTTCTGGAGTCATCCATTCCTGTTTTTTCCCTATTTTCTGTTTTGTCAGAATGGTCTTGCTCGGCTCAATTAATGCATTTTTTAAATCTTCCCATTGTTTGTCCGTGTCTTCTTCCGTTGTTATTTGATTGTTTTTGAGGGTTCTGAGGTTATCGTTGATCTTATTTTGTAGCCTTTGCCTTGTTTCTTGGATTTTTAGACCCGATACGTCTATACGATTTGCTGTTGGTATTACTCGTTATTTTTTAAATGTCATTAAAAACCGGGCTACTAAGGGATTATGGTCCGATGAGACATCTGCCCCTGGGTAGGTTTTTACTGATTTGATTACATTTTTATATCTGTGGTTTATTAGGATGTAATCAATTTGGTTCCTGACTATATTTTGTTTGTTGTCTTGCGGAGATTTCCAGGTGTACAAACGATGGTTTGGAAGTTTGAAGAACGTGTTCGATATAATAAAATCGTTCTCTTGGCAAAATTGCAGCAGTCTGTCGCCTCTTTCGTTTCTCCTAAGAGAACGATTGGAATATGAAATTCAGCACAGGATTAGCAGCGCCTCAAGAGCATTCTGGATATTAAAAGCCAGGGTTTTCTACAATCATGACGAGCAATTATAATCCCCACCATGTTATATGGGAGCGAAACCTGGGTGCCGTACCGCTGACACATGAACGCAGTAAGACACATGAAACAAGTTGCAGTAAGACACCATAGACAACTCTTAAGAATCCGGTGGTTCCATCATGTCTCAAACGTATCGGTCCTTGAAGAAGCTAACTGCTAGTATTGAAGTCATGGTTACAAAATCCCGCTTAAGATGGGCTGGTCACGTATGCAGAATGCAAGAAAACCGCATAACAAAATCTCTGCTTTACGGTGAGCTTGTAGACGGTAAGAGAAGGCCGGGTAGACAACTGAAAAGATACAAGGACTTTTTTCCCGAAAACTTAAACAGGATTAACATGCAGAATGAGTGGAAAGAAGCAGCTCACAATAGAACTCAATGGAGAAGAATTGTAAACTCAGTTAACAGCGACAACCAAAAAGTAAAGAGGCAACAAAGCAATGAGATTTTTGAATGTCCGGAGTGCGGTAGGTAGATAACATCACGTATCGGGTTTTTCAGTCACAGAAAAGCCCATGAAAGAAAACGCCCTGCGTGACCGTCTTCTGATGTGTGTCGAATACTCGTCAGTGAGTAATGGCAGTATGTTTTAAGGAGTTTCTTTGTTATGCCTGATCTCAGTTTCATAAGAATTTAGGTTAAAAATCAACCAACTTATGATAAAGACCTAAGAATTTTTTACCTCACGCAAGACAATGACCAATCTCTGTAGGTCCGATGTACTTGTCAAATACTGATGACACACATTACAAGAACAAACGTGAATTCGCTTACGCTATGTATAAAGTATAATATTGTGAAAAGTAAGATCATAATAAAATAAATATACCCTTACCTCTACTACATCTAGTACCCATGTAGTGCCAAAGGGATGGCATAATTTATTATAAAGTTCTTTATTTTTAATGTCCTCCGTATAGACTGGAACCGAGTTATTGAAATCTTGAACCACTGTTGTCACTTTGTAACCGTCCAGTCTTCTGTCAACTGGCGGTAGTTTGAACAGTAGCGATTCGTATCCAGTAACATAGAGTTTAGGCTTCTGGTCAATGTGCTTTCCTAGATCCGCAGTCTTCACCTCTATGCTGGTATAGTTACTTTTATATTTGCTGTTAGCTGACTGGACTGACAGATTGTAGGTTTTTCCGTATGGTACGTATTTTACCTAAAATTAAAAATTATTTTTAGTATATTTAATTTATTTATATAAACTATTGGTCAAAAATAGAAGTGTGTTGAAATGTGGTTATTTCGTCGATTGCCTGAAGGTAACTTGAAGAAAACCCATATCAAATGTATCCGTATTACTTCGCATGACCCAAATACAGATCTTTTAAGGACGTAATTCTAAAACCACAACTCCAATGCTCAGAAAAAGTAATGTGCTGATTACCACAAATCCCTCGACGAGACATATGGCTGTTAAATTCCACAGCAACAAGCAATAATTAGTCTTTAGCAATATTTAAAAGTTTGCATATTATTGTTTAATTTATGGTGACCAAGCCAAGACATATACAGGGTGCTACAAACTCGGGGTACGAGCATTGGTATCTCGGTAACCGTAATAGATACGATCACTGTTAAATTGGGGCAAAGTTGCGCTTTGGGATGTTCACCAAGATGCCATCAAAAACGTTTTAAAAATTTCAAGGATTGCTGATACCAAACCAAAACTAAAAGAAGTATAAAGTGTGGCATATCATTGTACTCAGGAGACCGAGTACTTTCAAAATCTGAAATAAAAAATGCAGGTCCGTATTTAAAAAAATAAGTTGGCCTCTGTATCTCACAAATTATCAGCTAATTTGAAAATATAAAAATACTGTCAGAGAGTCCTAATAAAGCGGCTATAAGAATGCGCAATTAGTTTTTTGATCTTCTAAAAAGTAACGACAGGAAAAAATAAAGTTGGTTTCCATTTCTATTACCGTTTCTAATCTATTACCGTTTCCGAGATACCAATGTTCGTACACCGAATTTGAACCACCCTGTATACAAGGTTGTTCACCCTATTCGACGCGAAGTATTGTAGCCAAATGATTAGATGTTTAGAAGTTGTGAGTAACAGTAACAGAGTGTCTCAAATAAATAAAATATATCAAAGTTGTATTTTTTAAATCAAACACCCTGTATATTATTATATTCTTGGTTTCTACGATTAAAATAAAAGTAAATTTAATTAAGGTTTCCATACTTTAAACTTACCGTTTTTGAAATATTTACGATTTTGTGAAAATGCAGTTACAATTTTAATGCTTCTCTATGAGTATTTAACTTTTTAAAACTAAATAATGCTCTGAAGTTTTTTATTTGCTAAATATTGTGTTGCAATAATAAAACCAATACTACCTTATTCAGAGTGCCTAAAAAATATTCTAAATAATTACTAGCTTTAAACTTTTAAACTTCAATAACTTGTTTAATCTAAGCAGAACACTCAATATATTTTATGTACATCAGATGCACAATTTAATTGTCTATCAAATTTTATTATAACATTTTTAGCTATTTCTTAGTGTTTTCGTAGAAAATGCATATATTTCAAACTTTATCAATCAATATTTATCATATACCCATGAAATTGTGACATTTTAGATTATTTTTAAACATTTAACAAATTTTCAAGGAGTACAGATACTAATATTGTCGATACTGTTCGCTTAATTCTTTAAAAGAAAACTATTTAAATATTTGTAAACGACGTACAATTAATATGATCCCATTGTTCCAGCCCAAACATTAATAAAATTAATAGTAACAAAGAAGCAAAAAAAGTTGAAAACGTAAAGTTCGTGAAAACTGCAAGGCTCAATCTTCAATGGTCATCGAAATAACCATAATCTCACACCCAAAATATAAATACAAGTACTAAATTATTTTATGTATTTTATTTTATTTGCTTTTATACCAAGGATTCCATTCTAAAATCATTTATGCTTACCTGGTGAGTATATTTGGGAAGATAGGTATTATTAAAAATCTTGTAGACTTCTTGAATAGGCTGTTCGTTTACTGTAGTGTCGGTATCGTTCAAAATTATATGAAAATTTTCAATAGTACCGTTTGGAAAATACGGATGTGACCAGCTGACATTTAAATGACAGTAGTCAATAAGTTCTTCACACTCGACGATTTCATAAGTAACGGTTTCTGGAGGAGCAGGAACTATAGAGAAATTAAAAAAATATATATATTCTATTTATATTATTCAGTTATACTAATTTTCTTTATTCTGATATACTATGATTCTATTATTTTTTGGAATTCAGTTGTGATTGGAACTTTCGATGTTACAATAACAAATTAAAACACTAATTCATAACATTGTATAAAAATACTTTACTTTTACACCGCATGCGTTTCGCTAACCATGATTCATTTTATCACTAGATGATTAAAACTAAACTATTATTTTCAATTATAGGGTTAATAAAAAAATGCCTTTATTGTCAAAAAATTGGTCATTACAATTTGGAGACAAAGGTAAAGTAAACAAACAAAAGAGAATAATGATGTTATGAATTTGATTTCAAATGGCAGGTGATTGTGCATTTTTTTCGAGTTGTATAAAATTAAACTTTTAACTAACTCTGAGCGTGGGGTAGGTAGATAAAGATCTTGCTCCGCGTTCCTGAGTGGATAAGTGTGAGATGTCCTTTCTTGAGAAGCTGATACATGCTTACGTATTACGCAAACGGATTCAAATATAAATAAGGAAGGAAGAGTTCAAATTTTTAATTGTTTAAAAAAGTCCTGGCAATGAGTTCTGCTGTTTAGTCCCAATGAATATCGAACAGCTCTCTTCTGGTGCTTGAAAATGCGGTCAAATTGAGTCACACAACACGTACCCCAGAATGGAAGGGGATATCTGAGGTGCGACTCAAAAAGTGCATAATAAACAGTTCTAGCCACTGACAAGTTAAGCTCCTTAAAAACAGATCTTAATGCAAAACAGGCAGAGCTTAATTTTTTCGACAAAGCGTCTATATGCATATCCCATTTTAGAGAATTGTCTACAACAAGCCCTAAGAATTTTACAGATTTTACTACGTCAATGGTGCTGTTGTTAAGTACAAAAGCCTGCTTAATATACAGAATGAGTCTTAAATAAATAAAAATGTTCTCAAGGCTGGTAGGTCTCGATAAAAGAAACATATTTTCTCTTTACCGTTTTTCAAATAAATCCAAAATAACTGAGTTATTTTACTTTGAAAATTTCCAAAAATATTATGTTTTGCTAAAATTTTGAGAACCACTGGATCTTTTTTGATTTTCTTAACAAAACGCGTATCTAGTGATAACAGTAATGTGCATTGTAGTGAATTAGTGTTTCATTTTACTATTATTTTGGTATTTGATTATTTCTATTATTTTTTCCAAAATAATTAACCTAAGCTCCAAGGAGAACGCGGTAGTTTATATCAAAGTTAAATTTTGGCAGCATAATATGTAGGTTAACTGAAATCATTTTATAGAAGTATATAGAATTATACAGGGTGTCCCCAAAAAAAGTTACACATCAAAGTTGTGTTTTTTCTAATGGAACACCCTATATATTAATTGATTTTCGGATTCTAGGAAAAAAATAAAGGTGAGTTTTATTAAACAAGCATATACCTAAAATTTAAGGATTTTGACATATTTCACATTTTGTGAAAATGAAGAGTTAATTTTAAAGTTCGATAACAGCTACCTAAATTTTAGTTGACCTTGTAGAACTTGATATTTAAGTACAGTAACCATTGTATGTTAAACCAAATTGAAATTTGACCAACTGCAGACAGACTTTGCGCACTGCATTCACCAACTAATAGAACCATATCAATTCTTTCTGATGTAGAATAAGTTTGCATTTTCGGCAAATTTCTGAGAATTTTTTTTGTTTTCTAACTTTAGTTCTGTAATAATTAAAATATGTTTTAAACGTGTATATTTTTATTACCGTTGAGTATTTTACTCTACATTAGTTTTTTTTTATTTATTTTTTAATATAAGTGGTGATAATATAACAATATTCAAAATATTAAAGACAAAATATTGAGTTTATATTTGAGGGAAGAAAAGTGCCACACCTAGCTTTAAACCACCGTAAATATACAGGGTGGCCCATTAGTGTGAGGAAGTCCAATATCGTCGTCGTTGTCGAAGATGCGAAAAAAGTTTTATGCATATGTTTCAAGGTTTATAAAGGGGCGTATCCTAAAATATTTTGTTATATACAGGGTGTTACAAAAAAAGTTATGGTAAAGTTAGTTATATTTTTTTTAATTATTTTACATCATTCTATATAGGGTATTTTTATGGCGTCAACAAAATCGGAATATTTAAAATGGTATATCTCAATTTTTTTAAATGCAACATTATGTATATTATTTTTCTGTCAGATGCAGAATTAAAAAGTGAACATTTTTTTTATTTAAAGTGTTTCTAAATTTTAACGGTTTCGCAGATATTCGCAGTATTATATTACATATGGCTCTTTCAAAAGTAAATTTTTATCAAAGCCACCTAATATGATCTTTGTCTGATATTTTATCGTTGAAAATCCTATATGTACAAAAAATGTTCACCTTTTAATTCTACATCTGAAAGAAAAATAATATACAAGGTGTTGCATCTAAAAAAAATGAGATACAACATTTTAAATATTACGATTTTGGTGACGCCATAAAAAATATCCTGTATACGATAAAGTAAATTTTTCTACACGAATTTATTCTGGTATCCTTCATGTTTAAGAAAACATAGCTAAGTATTAATAAAGTTATATCCATTCTAGTTTTTTTACCACTTTTCGTATATAATATTTTTAAATAAAGTTTTAGTAAATAAGAAATAGAATGGCAACTGGCAACATTGCAGTGTGCTTTAAATAAAGACAGTGTACTATATGCAGAATTTTATGCCGAATCGAGTTATCTACAGAATATTAAACTTGTTTTAAATAAAAAAAAAGTTGTAGAAAATCTCTGAAATAGATAATAATATAAAAATATGTCATATATTTTTTTCGCATTTCTTCCCTTCAGAAGATTATCAGAGACAGAAGAATTATTACCTACACAAAATGTGAAAATATTCAATTGTCAAGCAAGTTTTTACTCGATGGTCAATTTTTTTTTATTTTATTTTATTGTGAACTTATATTTTCCTAAATATATATCTATGAAACTATGGCGAGTGCCACGACTATACAGCTACGTCAGTGGTCACGGGAGGCGATAACAAGGTCATATAAAGTGGCAGAAAAAGAACAAAGAATTTGACAAAGAGTAAAACTACTAGTTTCCTTATACTATGCCTTTATTGTAATTTAAAAATTGTTCTTTATTTTTAGAAAATTATAAATATGTCAAAATCCTTACATTTTAGTCATAAACTCACCTTTATTTTTCTCTCAGAATCTGAAAATCTATTAATATATAGGATGTTCCATTACAAAAAAACACAACTGTAAAACTCTCTATATTTTTAAAAAGTGCTCTGAATTACATATGCTCACAAAATTTCATTTCAATACAAACTGTCATTCTCCTTGGAGCCTCCGCGGCGTATGAGAGGCCCCACACTGTACAGGGTGGGTCAAATTCGACGCTTTTAAATGGAAACACCCTTTTCTATAGGAGATAGACGAAAACTAATATCGGTGTCTGGAGCTCAATTTTCATCAAAAACATGATGGTGAAAACCGCACATCAATATCTGTTACCGTGTCGGAGTTACGGGGTGTTTTTAAAAAATGAGCATTTTTAACAAATCGCTGTAACATTTTTGCTATCGAAAATTTTGTATTTCTATAAAAACATTTCCAAAGCACCTTTTTACCTAGAATTTAATGGTTTAAGTATAATTTTTTTAAAATTAATAATTTAAGAGTTATCAACAGAAAAATTGATTTTTTATTTGGGACACCCTCTGTATTTTTAATTAACTGAAAAGAATTTAAAATTACCTTTCCAAAAATATAGGACACTTGATATTTTGTTATAATCCCCTTCGAAATACACAATTTTTAAGAAGTTCGCCACTTTTAACTAGTAGGCTTTGGACCCTTTATTGATGATATGCCCTTAATGGAACTCGAAAACATATTTTTCCAGCAAGACGACGCACCGTCTCTGATCGCAAATTTTTGCATCCAATTTCAAGAGTAATTGAATAGCCAACCAAGATTCCAGCCGTTGGCCGTCGAGGCCGCCTGACTTAGTGCCCATGGATCTAATCCTATCGATTTATTTGCGGAAAAATAAAGGTTCCTTGTTCTTCCGTATAATCTAGACAAGAATTAGAATTACTTAGCAGTTATGAGAGGGTATCTTTCACCCCTACTGAGTTAATGAATTCCACGAGAAATGTTCAAAAACTGCCCCGTCTGTCCATAACAGAAGACGGTCGATATGTCGAACACCTATAGCAAAATCTCATGTCTTGGTTTGCTATTTATTTTTATTGTTATTAGATATAGTTTAAATGTGTTCATGTTGGTTAAATATATTTTAAATTATTATAAAATTATGCATCTCTCACAGCAAATATTATTTTCGTTTTAATTGATGTTCACAGCTAGATTTTTTTTGGGTTACAGCCGGTGCCGTTCAAAGCCTACTTATTTAAAGCGGGCGAATTTTTATATACTCTATATCTCGAAGAAGAATCGAGCAAAATATCAAGTGTGTTATATTTTTGGAAAGGTAATTTTAAATTATTTTCAATAAATTAAAAACATACAGGGTGTCCCATATAAAAAATCAAATTTTCTGTTGATAATTCTTAAATTATTAATTTTAAAAAAATTATACTTAAACCATTACATTCTACGTAAAAAGGTGCTTTGGAAATGTTTTCATAAAAATACAAAATTTTCCATAACAAAAAAGTTACAGCGATTTGTTAAAAGTGCATATTTTTGAAAAACACCCTGTAACTCCGAAACGGTAACATATATCGATATGCGGTTTTCACCATCATGTTTTTGACAAAAATTGAGCTCCAGACACCGATATTAGTTTTCGTCTATCTCCTATAGAAAAGGCTGTTTCCATTTAAAAGCGTCGAATTTGACCCACCCTGTACATACTATTATTTTTTATACTATGTTTTACCTTTTTCTACACTATATTCCGTTAGAGCTGCCTCTGCTCCAAAAACATTCGTATCCTGATTCTTGACGCTGACTTTAAAAATATAAGCTTGTTTAGGCAGCAAATAATCCAGTCTTAGACAGTACTTGTTCTTCCACAGCGTACATCTTTCTATATTGCTTATGAAGGATCTACACTTCGCGAATGACAACTTGTTACACCGAGTTGCTTGAACGGCTAATGGTATTCCTCTCGAGTCCAATGGCAGGTCGTATCTCAAAAAGGCGACGCTCGATCCTATGGCATACACTTCTAAATTGTCAACGGATGGGGCCACTAAAACATAACATAACTACTCAGAAGAATACTGAGAGAAGCAAATTAGGTTGAAGGAGATAGTAAAAGTTTAATTTGTGCAAAGAAACCTTCTACAAACATTAGTAAAAGTAATAGCCCAGTCAAATTAGAGCAATCGGTGGAAAAAATCCCACAGTTTTGAAAATGGTCTTAAATGATTTCTCTAAATTTGGGCTGATATGTGTCAAATAAAAAATGGCAAAAGCCCAGGAGAAGATCGTATTACACCTGAAATGCTGAAGATGAGCGAAAAACCATTAGTGGATGCCGTGGAAGTATTGTTAAATAAATGTCTGATGGAGGGTAGAATCCCGGACGCATGGAAAAACGCAGAAGTTTTGCTATTATACAAAAAAGGAGATTTTACAAATATAGAGAAGTATAGACCAATAAGCCTTCTCTCGCATCTATACAAGCTCTTCACTAGGATTATCAACAACCGACTGTCTACGAAACTAGATTCCTATCAGCCAATAGAACAGGCAGGCTTTCGAAAAGGTTTTAGTACCATCGATCATCTACAAACAATTAAAACAGTCATTGAAAAAACAACAGAATACAATATACCTCTACATTTGGCCTTTGTAGACTACCAAAAAGCCTTTGACAGCATCGAAACCTGGTCATTTCTAGCTGCAATGGAGGACGCGAGAATTGATTCCAGATATTATTCCATTATTAAAAATATCTATGATAGTGCAACCTTCCAAGTTAAATTAGATGATGACCTCAAAACAGAAAAAATACTACTCGGCAAGGGCGTGAGACAAGGAGATACCATCTCTCCCAAGTTATTTACACTGGCACTGGAAAATGTCTTCAAGAAATTAGAATGGGAAAATAGAGGTCTAAACATCGATGGGGTACACCTTAGCCATCTGAGGTTCGCAGACGATATTGTCTTGCTGAGCACCGACATTCAAGAACTAAACACCATGCAAATGAGCTAAATGACCAATCCCAGAAAATTGGCTTTAAAATGAATTTGAAAAAGACCAAGATAATGAGCAACAATATCCATAACATTACCGTTGACAACGTTATTATTGAAAACGTAGACCATTATATATATATTTAGGTCATAAAATCAAGCTGGGCAAGGAAAACCAAAATACGGAGATCAAACGCAGGATCCATTTGGCATGGGTAGCATTTGGAAATATGAGCAATATTTTCAAGGATAAAAAGGTGCCCATGAACCTAAAGAAAAAAGCTTACGACAGCTGCATTCTACCTGTGCTTACGTATGGCTTAGAGACTATGTCAATTACTCGAAAAACAGCAGAACAAATACGAGTAGCACAAAGAGCCATGGAAAGAATCATGTTGGGAGTCAATATTAGAGAAAAAAATACGGAATACCCACATACGTCAAAAAACAAAATTAATAGATGTCGTTAAAAGAGTGGCAAGTCTGAAGTGGCAATGGATAGGACATGTGGCAAGACAGGATCCAGACCGATGGCCCCAAAAAGTAATCCTATGGAGACCTAGGGGAACAACAAGAGGTGTGGGCCGACCAAAAAAGAGATGGGTCGATGACGTCAGGGCAGTGGCGGGAAGACAATGGATAAGATTGGCTAGAGATCGCGAAGCGAAATTCGCGAAATTAACACAATTTCTCATATTTTATTTTCGCATTTAAAATCCAATTAAAGTCTAATATTGTTATCTTCCAAGTCTTCAATACACCGTAACTTTTTGTCTTCGATTGGAGAGCACTAGTGCACACAGAACTCAATAATAACTGCAAGTTAAAGATTATTGCATGCCTGCTTTACGTTTTTGCGGTAAAAAAAGTATATCACAGCATTTAACGCAGCTGCAAATATTGTAGAAAGTATACGAAATCAAGAATCATGGTTTATGGTCCATGATTGCTCAGAGTTGAAGATTTCTATCCCCGCTTGCAGTAGATTTTTCTAATGTTAATGTAGCACGAAACATTTCAGACATTAGCATTTGAGGCCTGGTTCCCTGAGGTTGTATATTGCGATGGTATATATATATATATATATGATTTCTTCCTGTAGGCACAGTTAACGTAAGTGTAATATTTACGTATCTGCACTACCCAATTAATTTCGCTAATATAGTATCAGTCTTCCCTAGCAGAATTTTAAAGAGCCTTAAAAGCGCATATGAAAGTGTGATTTCTGAATCTTCCCAACCTACAATAATTGAATACAATAATGATATCCACATACATATAACATGAGTCCACATACTTTAAAATTATCTACACATCGGGACAGGTCAACTCTGTGTATAGGATTTTAACGTGTAAGACAGTGATGTAGGCAGCTTAATGGCAAATCAAATGTATTAAAAAGAGAAAAAAGTTGGGTGGGTATGGGTGAGTACATTTCTTCTGAGCGGTATTGCCAGATTTTGCATCAAAATTTCAAACCGCATAAGTAGACGTTTCAAAAAAATGTCGCATCTAGGGTTGGATCTGGATTTTCGACAATTAGTTACTCATTTTACTACAACTGTAATAGATTACATTTAGCTTAGATATATTATCTTCATTTCAGTAGTATACATGAAGATTTTTAACATAGTTTATTTTATTCTAATTTCTTTAAGACTACGATAATATACTGGTCGGCAAGAGAAAATCTTGGGTCGTTTATTTTAGTCATCATTTACCTACATGTCTAGAAGTGAATCGCTATGGCAATCTTGTAAGTCGGGGAGAGAAAATTATTATCTATCCACTTAATCCGGAGCTCAACTTCATACGCTTGGGAAAATTCTTGCTCTTTTCTCTTTGTTCATTTATACAATCACAGAGTCTATAGACTCTGTGCACTACAATCGGCACCCAAAGCCGTGTGTACATTATCTAAAAAATATGCTGTATTACGTAGTAAATAGTGCAAATTCTATTGTCGACCATTCTAAACAGTATTAAATAATAATGGAGTGAGCCAGTGTGAAGTGAGACATTAAATGATTGATCTTTTTGTTAAATTACGTGGTATAACTTAACACAATGATGAATCGTTTAATGTTTCATATGCACCTCCATAATTATTTAATCTGTAATCATACTGATTACAGCGTTCGACAACAGAATTTGCGCTTTTAGTACGTTTTGTAATTAATAGATTATCTGTCTTATTATGCAACTAGGGATGTACGTGTCTACGTAATAGAGCATCAGCATCTCTCTCAGTATATCGTATTATACTGAACACGTTGACACACGAGAATCAGCAACCAAAGCCGTGTTTACGCTTCATTAAATAAACTAACCAAAAAATATGCTCTATTACGTAGTTACGTACATCCTCAGTTACATAATAGGACCGATAATCAATTAATTACAAAATGTTGTAAATATCACAAATTCTATTGTCGACCGATCCGGATTAAGTGGATAGGTAATAAACTTCTCATTTTTCTCCCGTATTTTATAGTCTTTTCTGTTTCAGTATATCGTATTGTACTGAACACACGTTGACTGTATTCTTCATACACACGACAATCGGCATCCAAAGCCGTACGTTGTACGTTTTATTAAATAAATTAACATTTTTGTTTATCTATTGGTTCGTTTATGCTTTATTTAATTATTGATATTATTTTGTTAAGTTATACCACCAAGTGCTATAAACTAGTACAAAATTAAAAAAGTTAATTTTAAGTAAAGTTCTTTGAAATATATCTATATTACTATTATGAATGAGAAATCTTATCGATTTTTAATTTGAAATTATATTAATTGCCATGTGTCATGTTTTTATTATTATTGTCAATTTTCTGCGGATAGCTGATAAATTAGTCTATTGTCAATTCAATTTGATTATAATATGATGTTCAAATACCATTTTGTTATTCATAAAAACGGCCTTTTTATTACTTTTCTGCCATACTGATCCATCAATAAATATTTCTTACGTGTTTGAACAGAGCAGACGAGCAAAATTTATTAATTTTAGGGTCCTTTATATTTACTCATCCCTGATTCCATCCAATTATGGCCGCTGATTAGAAGCGGGCGGTAGACGTTCGCTTTCGGTCATAGGCGTACTTAAAACTAAAATTTCTATTATTCCACATTATCCGTTTTAAACAAATATTTTGTATCAATAAAAAAGTGATTTTAATTTACTACTTATAATAATGCATCGTTTTCTTTTTTAATTTAGTAGGTCTTTTAAATTATTTTTTAATTTTGTACAATATATTCTACTATATATATATACTATGAAATATAAATTACAAAAAATCTATAGTCGCTTGCGCAGTCAAGGAGTGATTTATGTGAACGCATCACGTCTAAAATTTATAAAATCACTGTATATACTAAAAGTTATACTTAATACTTAAAAAAATCATGATATCGTACTTCTTCAATGCTATTTGAACGAAAAACGTGCAATGAAATGAAATATGCTTGTACGGATTTGGAATATGCCATTTGATTTAGTATTCAAATTTATGAAGGGTATAGATCGGAAATCATAAATCCTTTTCCAGGACTAGAATATATCCAACTTTAAGAAATTCAAGTAAACAAGTGTCCGTTTTGAATTACATTTCAATAGAAGATTTGACATGATGGGAATTTGACATGAGAAACTTAATACTCCGCCATATTGATTTTGGAATAAACCCGCTCCACACAGTCATTTTGAAATATCGTGGTAGCTTATCTTCTCTCTCATCGATAAAAAATGGTAAAGTCTATACAGGGTTGTTCACCACATACGACGCGGAGTATTGTAGCTAAACTATTTAATTTTTGCAAATTGTAAGTTTGGGGTTCGTTGAAGAACTATTAGAGCTACAATTTAAAAATATTTCTATAAGATACAGAGTGTACCAAATAAATAAAAAATATCAAAGTTGTATTTTTTTAAATGGAACACTCTGTATATTATTGCATTTTTAGTTTCTACAATTAAAATAAAGGTAAATTTGATTAAGGTTTACCGCATTTTAATCTTACCGTTTTTGAAATATTTAGGTTTTTGTCAAAATACAGTAATAATTATAATGCTTTATTTCTCTAGGCGTATTTAAGTTTTTAAAACCAAATATTGTATTGAAGTATTTCTATTCGCTAAATTTTGTGTTGCAATAATAAAAATTATACTATCTTATACAGAGTGTCCAAAAATTTATTTTAAATAATAACTAGTTTAAAACGGCAATAACTTCTTTAATTTAAATGGAACACCCTGTATATTTTATGAGAATCAGATGCACAATTTAATTGTCTATCAAATTATATTATATCATTTTTTACCTATGTCTTCAGGTTTTCGTAGAAAATGCATTTTCTTATAATTTAGACCTCAATTATCAATATACCTATGGAATATTGACATTTTAGATTATTTTTAAAGATGTAACAAATTTTTAAAGGGTACAGATACCAATATTGTCGATATAGTTCGTTCATGTCATTAAAAAATTAAAAAAAAATGTTTAAATATTGGTAGAAAGGACCAATTAATATAATTCCAGTATTCAAACTACATTAATGGACTGCTTGCATTGATTAATAATAATTGCTCCAAATACTAAAACCTGAATTTTGTATGTATATTAGACAGTGTGGTAAAAAGTAACACCTTAAAAATTTTATTTCATTTTTTGACGAATGCTTATTTATAACAACAGAGATGTTTCATTTTCATAACTTATTATTATATTGATTTCTGATTCCAAATCCTTATTTATTTAGAATAATTTATTAACTAACACAATTAAATATGTAATTAATTAATATTTCGGCGGAAATACTGGTGGTATACTTAATTAATGGTATAGTCTTTTATAAAGATTTAAATAGTTTTATTTTTATATACAAATAGGCTGGTAATATTATCATTACATTTGTTGTTTTAAAACCAATCTAAAAAGTCAATATTTCATGGGTGTATTGATAAATGAGGTCTAAATTATTAGAAAACGCATTTTCTACGAAAACTTGAAGAGATAGGTAAAAAATGGTATAATACAATTTGATGGACAATTAAATTGTGCATCTGATTGTCCTAAAATATACAGGGTGTTCTATTTAAATTAAACAAGTTATTGCGGTTTAAAGCTAGAAATTATTTAAAATAAATTTTTAGACACTCTGTATGAAGTAGTATTACTTTTATTATTGCAACACGATAACTAATCAATACTTAAACTTCAGTAAATATTTAGTATTAAAAACTTTGATACCCTTGGAGAAATGAAGCCTTGAAATTTTTACTGCAATTTCACAAAATTGAAAATATTTCAAAAACGGTAAGATTTAAGGGTGACAAACCTTAATCAAATTTACTTTTATTTTAATCGTAGAAACTAAAAATGTAATAATATACAGGATGTTCGATTTAAAAAAATACAACTTTGATATTTTTTATTGATTTGGGACACTCTGTATGTTGCAAAAATATTTTTAAATTGTAGCTCTAATAGTCCTTCAACCAACCCAAAACTTACAATTTGTAAAAATCTAATCGTTTAGCTACAATACTCCGTGTCGTATGTGGTGAACAACCGTGTATAATATGATTCAATAATATCAATTTAATGGTATAAAATTATGTTTAAATGATGTGGAAAAAAAAGGAAAATTGTACCTCCAGGTAATGTTGTAAAATTGTACTCCATGGTAAGGGTACGCTCTCCATTATTCAACATCCTTGCATTCCTGGCAGTAGTCACTGTTAGTTTATGCAAAGAGTAAGGTCTGAGACCGTCTATTGTAAAGCTGTTCCCTGTTTGAGACTGTTCCTTGCTGATATTATAGTCATAGCTGGTAACGTTCAGGCTGTAGATAAGTCGGCCTTTTTGAGAGTTGCAGTCAGGTTTGTCCCAAGAAATATTCACTGCTGTGGTTGACGGACGAATATGTATCTTGATTGGTTGTTCATCTAATGCTGGTTCCTCTGAAGAAAAAAAAATGGTCAAGTGCGAGTCGGACTAGTGTACTAGTAAATAATATTTAACTATTATTATAATTATGAAATCAATATAACTAATATCTTACCTGTTTCTAACGTATCTACGCGAACAACTTTATCATGTTCGTGCAGTACTGAAGAGATAGTAATATAATACTTCGTAAAAGGTACTAGATCTTTGATATCGACTTCATTATGTTTAGTTGATATAAATCCGGATGACTTGAACCTTATTGACTTCGCAATATCTGTTGAACAATCATCCAGACCCTAAAAACAATATTGGTTAGAATATTGTCACTTTTTCAAAAACTCAATAATTAAAGAATATTATAATACAGGGTGGTCCCAACTGTATTCCAGAAACTTCGGCAGCATATTCTGCAAATAAGAATAAGTAAAAAAGTTTGTATAAACGTGTGCCCTAAAATGCTTAGTTTCGAAGATACAGGGTGTAGAAGTTTCATTTTTATTTCGATTTTTTCCAAATAATTTCTGAAGTACCGTCAATATTTGGATGAAAATTGGCGCCTGGGAGTTTTTTGACATGAGAAATTTGATTTTGATGTCAATATGCCTCCTATTTGTAGAGGGCGCCACCTACATGTGTTTTAACCTTTGAATAAGAAGACTAAGGAAGGAGCATAATGCTATCCATGTATTCATGCATGGTGGGCGGAAAAGCCACCATAAAAGCTCTCTAGGGTGGGGATTCTTGACAGTTCTGTTTGACGATTCATTTTGATTCATTTGGTACATTTGAATTTGATTTGAAATTTTGTGGATTTGTCAGTCTTTACGGAGCTTATTTTATGTTATTTATTATTTATTCTACTACTGATAGTTGTATAAAGGTAGTAAATCTAGATGGAAATTGTGGTAGAACTTAAATTAACAGTGACACTATCGCTATTTATCGAAAAAGACTCTAAAATAGTTGGTTGTGCGGTAGATCTCGGCAAAAATTGAGTGAAATAATGGAACAACTTTTCGCTAGTAAGTGACTATATAATATACATACGTTTAGTAAACCGATCATTTATGAAATTCACTTAAATTAACTAAATTATATATTTTTCTTGCATTTTAGCTTTTATTTATTACTTGTCAAAGATTAGATGTCAAAGAATTTACATACGTTAATTTGACTTACCTGCTTCAGTAGCGTATCGGATGTTTGTGTTAATAAATACTTATTATAACTTATCTATTTTTATTAGAATTATATATGTTTTATAACAATTTTAATAACTACCAACATTTATTCACAACGTAAAATAAAACAACAAATTATTGAGTCTACCCCACGTCTACCCTACATCATAGTTTTACATTTTTTAAATAAAATTAGAACGACACTGATAAACCGGAATTTAAGTCGGCCATATTTGAGGCCCATTGCGGTGTACCTAAGATTTTTGATATGCTCCTTCCTTAGTCTTCTTATTCAAAGGTTTTAACTGTTTTGGAGAGTAATAACTTTTTGTCCGTACCTGTATAAAACTACTGAGTGAATATACATTACCGAAATATACATTACCGTGATTTTTTACGTACAAAATGTCTCTTGGTAAAATTCGCTATGAACAACCGTTCTCGAGATATTTAGAATGGAAATAGTCAATACATGTTATTATTGACAAAAAATAAGCATGTTGAGTAGACAGATATTTGACTGAAATGATAAATTTGGGAACTTTTTATTTTGTTTTTAAATTAATCTTAAATTTTTCTGAGAAAAAATGATAATAAAGAACTTTTAGCACAAAAACATTTCAAATTTATGATTTCAGCCTAATAACTATTTAGTCAACATGCTTAATTTATGACAAAGACTAGTGTGTACCCGCGACTTCGTTCGCGTCGGATTAATCATTTGTAATGGTGATGATCAAGCAAAGCAAGAATTTCCATTAACATACAAACTAAGATAAAATTTTCTTACATTTATGTCAGCATGAGAAAAAACAATATGGCGATATTATTATATAACTTGGTATAATATTTGGGGGGTAGTTTCATCTCGTTGGAATTTGACTTTCGAAAAATCCGTTTGCCAAAAATAAGCTTTTTACGTCAAGCAGTTTAAGCAGAATCGTGGTTAATCAATTACCCAACTTTTTGGAACACCCTGTATGATTTTTTAAAAAATTTCAAAATATGTAAAAAAAAATAAATTATGCGTGTCCAAGCGTTTTCCCGAAAGACTAACCGTTTTTTAAATAACAAATATTATAATATTCGAGGGGCGTTTTCATCTTCTTGGAATTTGAGATTCGAGAAAGCCCTCCTTATCGAACCTCTACACCCCACAGTCAATCCGTTTGCCAAAAATCAGCTTTAAAGGTCAAACAGTTTAAGCAGAATCGTGATTACTCAATGGTCATATTTTATGAAACACTCTGTATAAATTTATAAAAAATCTTAAAATATGTAAATCAACAAAATAAAATATACGTGTTTAAGAGTTTTTCCGAAAAACTCACCGTTTTTAAATAAAAAATATCTAATATTTGAGGGGTGGTTACATCCCCTTAGAATTCGAGTTTCGAAAAAATCCTTCTTATCGAACCTCTACACCCTAAAGTCAATCCGTTTTCCAAAAATCAGCTTTTTACGTCAAGCGCTTTTAAAAGCAGAATCGTGATTAATCAATGACCAATTAATCAATTTTCAGAAACACCCTGTATACATTTTTAAAAATCTTAAAATATGTAAAAAAGAAAATAAAATATACGTGTTCAAGCGTTTTTCGGAAACTTGACCGTTTTTTAAATAAAAATATTCTAATATTTGAGGGCGGTTTCACCCCCTTAGAATTCGAGTTTCGAAAAATCCCTTCTTATCGAACCTCTCTACACCCTAAAGTCAATCCGTTTTCCAAAAATCAGCTTTTACGTCAAGCGCTTTAAGCAGGATCGTGATTAATCAATGACCAGATTTTCGAAACACCCTGTATACATTTTAAAAAAATCTTAAAATATGTAAAAAAGAAAATATACGTGTTTAAGCGTTTTTTCGGAAACTTGACCGTTTTTAAATAAAAAATATTCTAATATTTGAGGGCGGTTTCACCCCCTTAGAATTCGAGGAGTTTCGAAAAATCCCTTCTTATCGAACACTCTACACCCTAAAGTCAATCCGTTTTCCAAAAATCAGCTTTTTACGTCAAGCGCTTTAAGCAGGATCGTGATTAATCAATGACCAGATTTTTCGAAACACCCTGTATACATTTTTAAAAAATCTTAAAATATGTAAAAAAGAAAATAAAATATACGTGTTTAAGCGTTTTTTCGGAAACTTGACCGTTTTTAAATAAAAAATATTCTAATATTTGAGGGCGGTTTCACCCCCTTAAATTCGAGTTTCGAAAAATCCCTTCTTATCGAACCCTCTACACCCCCTAAGTCAATCCGTTTTCCAAAAATCAGCTTTTTACGTCAAGCGCTTTAAGCAGGAACGTGATTAATCAATGACCAGATTTTTCGAAACACCCTGTATACATTTTTTAAAAAATCTGAAAATATGTAAAAAAAGAAAATAAAATATACGTGTTTCAGCGTTTTTTCGGAAACTTGACCGTTTTTTAAATAAAAAATATTGTAATATTCCACCCCCCTTTTTACCCCCTTAGGGGATGAATTTTTAAAAATCCTTTCTTATCTTACGTAAACATCATAAAAGGATCCCCTGTGCAAAATTTCAGCTTTCTAGGGTCAAGGGTTTGGTCTGGGCGTTGATGAGTCAGTATCAGTCAGGACAGTCAGATTTATATATATAGATGTCAGGTTTTGATAATTTCGATTCCAAATATCTCGAGAACCATTAATCGTAGCGATTTTTACTAAGAGATATTTTTTACGTAAAAAATGTTGTAAAGGCATATTTTTTTTACTCATTTGTCTTATACAGGTACGGACGAAAAATTATTACTCTTCAAAACAGTTAAAAATATGTAGGTGGCGCCCTCTACAAGTAGAAGTCATATTGACATTAAAATCAAATTTGTCATGTCGAAAAACTCCCAGACACCAATTTTCATCCAAATATTTACGTTACTTCAGAAATTGTTTGGAAAAAATCGAAATAAAATTGTAAACTTCTACAACCCTGTATCTCCAAAACTAAGTATTTTAGGACATACATTTATACGAACTTTCTTACTTATTTTGATTTGCAAAATGTGCTGCCGAAGTTTCCGGAATACAGTTCGGACCACCCTGTATAAATATATAAAGGTTTTCGGTTTAGTAGTATTTCATCACAATTTTTTGCAAATATTTTCGGGGCTAGTAGATCTCGATAAAAGAAAGATATTTTCTCTTTACCGTTTTTCAAATAAGTCCAAAATAGCCGATTATTCAAGTTTGAAACTTTAAAAAGAAATTATTTACTTTTAATAAAAATTGAGTGTCGCCGGATTTTTTCTGTATTTGCATTCCTTTTAGTGTCGTAGCCATGGTAATATCAGAGATTAAGAAATTATACTGTAGGAAAATTTGTGATGAACAGGAAGTTCTAAGAAGTTTTCTAAAATATGCAAGAAACTTACTTTTAAAAAAACGCACGATTTTCACCATCTTTTTTCCAAAGAAAACTTAGAAAAAAAAATAGACGTGTTCCTGGTGTCGAAATATACCACCCCTAAAATTATTTGCACTTATTTAAAACTCATCCTGTATAATTTTGAGGTTAGTAAATATTATATAATTTAAAATTTTATACAGGGTGGTCCAAACTGTATTATGCACATAAAAATAAGTAAAAGAGTCCGTATAAACTTATGTCTTAAAATGCTTCATTTTGAAGCTACAGGGTGTAGAAGTTTCATTTTTATTTCGATTTTATCCAAATAGTTTCTGTTCGATATTTGGATGAAAATTGGTATCTGGGTGTTTTTTGACATGAGAAATTTGATTTCGATGTCAATATGAGTTGTAAAAAATGTTCTAAAGGCATATTTTTTTACTCATTTGTCTTATACAGGTACGGACGAAAAATTATTACTCTTCAAAACAGTTAAAAATATGTAGGTGGCGCCCTCTACAAGTAGAAGTCATATTGACATTAAAATCAAATTTGTCATGTCAAAAAACTCCCAGACACCAATTTTCATCCAAATATTTACGTTACTTCAGAAATTGTTTGGAAAAAATCGAAATAAAATTGTAACTTCTACACCCTGTATCTCCAAAACTAAGTATTTTAGGACATACATTTATACGAACTTTCTTTCTTATTTTGATTTGCAAAATGTGCTGCCGAAGTTTCCGGAATACAGTTCGGACCACCCTGTATAAATATATAAAGGTTTTCGGTTTAGTAGTATTTCATCACAATTTTTTGCAAATATTTTCGGGGCTAGTAGATCTCGATAAAAGAAACATATTTTCTCTTTACCGTTTTTCAAATAAGTCCAAAATAACCGATTATTCAAGTTTGCAACTTTAAAAAGAAATTATTTACTTTTAATAAAAATTGAGTGTCACCGGATTTTTTCTGTATTTGCATTCCTTTTAGTGTCGTACCCATGGTAATATCAGAGATTAAGAAATTATACTGTAGGAAAATTTGTGATGAACAGGAAGTTCTAAGAAGTTTTCTAAAATATGCAAGAAACTTACTTTTAAAAAAACGCACGATTTTCACCATCTTTTTTGCAAAGAAAACTTAGAAGAAAAAAAAATAGACGTGTTCCTGGTGTCGAAATATACCACCCCTAAAATTATTTGCACTTATTTAAAACTCATCCTGTATAATTTTGGGGTTAGTAAATATTATATAATTTAAAATTTTATACAGGGTGGTCCGAACTGTATTCTGCACATAAAAATAAGTAAAAGAGTCCGTATAAACTTATGTCCTAAAATGCTTCATTTTGAAGCTACAGGGTGTAGAAGTTTCATTTTTATTTCGATTTTATCCAAATAGTTTCTGTTCGATATTTGGATGAAAATTCGTATCTGGGTGTTCTTTGACATGAGAAATTTGATTTCGTGAGTTGTAGGGGGCGCCACCTATCGGTTTCTTAATTGGTTTGAAGAGTAATATCTCTTCGTGCGTACCTGTATATAGTTCAGTCATTGGGGATCAAAAAAAGGGCTTGCTTGGTAAAAAGTCCGGAAGTTTTGAAACTTTACAGATTTATAGGTTTTGGGATCCCTAACTGAAATCCATAAAATGCACATTTCCAGACTTGCCGCTGGCGCCCAAAATCGGCATTTTATAAATATCTCGAAAACTATGCGTTTTTCGCAAAAATTTGAAGAGAGCAAAATTAAACAGAATAAAATTTCCTATAAAAAATGTTATATGAAAATTTCCGCTAAAGGCAACCGTTTAGGCACAAAATCCCTGGAAATTTTACAATTTTGCGTAAAGTATGATATACATATAGTCGATTTTCCGAAATCAAATGTCGATTAGTGTTCACTAAAACTAGTTTTAGTTTAGTTTCTTCAATTTTGTCATGAAACAGCGGCGTATCATTAATTCGCTCATTAATTTATGAATAATTAATTGTCGTGCTGGGCAGTATTCATTGCGAACTTACAACCAGGTTCAGCATTGGTCTGGTTGTACCAAAGATGCCGAAGAATGGGGTTGGAAGAAAACAAAAACAGGCATTACTCCAGTCACAACGTTGAAAGATCCAGCTCCAAAATCCCTATTGGCATTTTTATCCTGTAAATTCAAAACCAACAACTATGGTGAAGCCTGCGGATGCAGAAAAGCAGGTTTAAAATGTTCAATGATTTGTGCATACTGCAATGGGAAATCCTGTGACAACGTCACTGAAGAGTCACTCGACGAATCCGATGAAGAGGAGTTGGACTTGCCTGTAGATATCCCTCTGGCGGCTGAAGATGAAGAGGTGGACGTACTGAGAGATCACCCTGATGAGCCCAGCACAGCAGACACGATCGACTTTGACATCAATGAGCCAGATCCGTCGGGCTTGTGCAGATAAGTTAAAGTTTTTAAATTATCTAGTGGAGTAGGCCTCCGTTAAATGAAAGAATTAACGTATAAAAACGTAAAAATTTGGGCGGTGTGGAAACAAGTACACATTTTCAATAATTAACATTAATTATTTATAAATTAATGAGCGAATTAATGATACGCCACTGTTTTATGACAAAATTGAAGAAACTAAACTAAAACTAGTTTTAGTGAACGCTAATCGACATTTGATTTCGGAAAATCGACTATACATAATATATCATATTTTACGCAAAATTGTAAAATTTCCAGGGATTTTGTGCCTAAACGGTTGACTTTAGCGAAAATATTTATAAAATATGTTTTTTTATAGGAAATTTTATTCTCTTTAATTTTGCTCTCTTCAAATTTTCGCGAAAAACGCTTAGTTTTCGAGATATTCACAAAATACCGATATTCACAAAATGTGCATTTTATGGATTTTAGTTAAGGACCCCAAAACCTATAAACCTGCAAAGTTGCAAAACTTCGGGACTTTTTTCCAAGCAAAAATCTCCATTCACTGAACTATATAAAACTACTGAGCATAAAAATATACATTTCCATAATTTTTTTGGGTAAAAGATGTCTCTTGGTAAAAATCGCTACGAGCAACTATTTCCAAGATATTTGGAATGAAAATAGTTAGAAGACAAAAATTATGCATGTTGACTGGATAGTTATTAGTCTGAAATAATAAATTTGAAATGTTTTATGCCAAAGATTCAACAGCAACAGTTTTATCGTATTTTTTCTAGAAAAATTGATGATTATCTTAAAAAATTAAAAAGTTCCCAAATTTATTATTTCGTTCAAATAACTATTTAGTCAACACATTGTTTATTTTATTTTCGATAATGAGATGCATTGATTATTTCCATTCCTGATATCTTGAACAATCGTTTTCAAGAACGTAGCGACTTTTACCGAGAGAATTTTTTTTACTTAGAAAATTACGGAAATTAATATTTTTTTATCAGTAGTGTAAAACCGAGATCGTTTAAGAAACCGAGAAACCGAGACGATACTAATACTCTAGATACTGATTTTCATCCAAATACCGAATTCAATTAGAAATTATTAGGAAAAAATCGAAATAAATATGAAAATGTTACACCCTGTATCTCTGAAACGAAGCATTTTCGGACATAACTTTATACGAACTTTTTTACTTATTTTTATGTGCAGAATATGCTGCCAAAGTTTCTCGAATAGAGTTCGGACCAGTCTATATATTGTATTTTGTTTAATATTTACCTGATAGAAAATAAAATAACTGAGGTATTTATCTGGATCTTCTAGTTCCCAAGATAAATTTATCCAAGTCTCGTTACTTTGAGTTTTCACTGATGGAAAATCTATTAAAAAATAAAAATTTAGAATAATTAGTATATTTTTTTCACAAACGCAGCTCTTACCAGAAATTTCATCATACTCTAGTTTTATCGGTCGCCAGTTTGGTTTCCTTACCAGTTGACAAGATATACTGTCGACTGTCAAATCATCTGGAGCAAATGTCTCGTAAAGCGTAAGATAGGACACTTTCACCTCTACAACAACCAAACTTTTACAATTTTTTAAATTTATTATAAACTATTATATGTACCATTCTCATTGCAAACTCTCACGTTATCATATGCCCACCAACCATCTCCTTTCTCTTTTTCCTCGTGAACAAATTTTGTTTCAACAAAAATGTTAAACTTCGATATTCCTATATTTTCTTGTTTCAGTTTTACTTCCATCCATTTTTCGTCCTGTAATTTTACAGTGTCTAAAATTAGTTAAATAACTGACAATAAAGCATTTTGTCCACGACCACTTAATAATAAATCAATATTCTACTTCCTAGCTGAAGGAATATGGTGCCCATATTTGTAATAGAGTGAAACATAACAGCTGGTAACAGTGAATTATGATAAAGCACACTTTGCATTTCCTTTACATTTTTTCCTATGCAAACGTGACACTCACAACATCCCGATGCGCGGCGTGGATGATTTGAGGTTTTTCTTATCTTTTCTTTTTATTAATTTTGACGTTTAAAATTTAAACACTGACGTTTAAAATGTTAAGTAGTGGTAGGTAGTGATTATTAAGTGGCATATCAAGAACTCGTTTAAAATCAAAAAATGAATTATGAGAATAATAATGAGCCCTGTATACAACCAGAGATAGCAGAGGCGGCCAAATTAACAAGTCTTGGATTGTTACCACAAAAGTCTATAAGGATCATTACATGTCTGCCTATAAAAACTTTCTAGACTGGAGGAAAAAAAAAGGCATAAATTCGTTTTCCGAATCCGTGTTTATTAGTACTTTTTTCTACCACCTTTAGTAAAATAAATTTGTTGAAAAATGATAGATCCTACCACAAGCAGCTGACTTTTTGTTGTTTTGTGTAACTAAAGTTGGTTATTTGTGTTTTATTTATCGATATACACGGGGTGAGTTTCCTACGATGTTCTCTATGGGTATCTCGGAAACTACTGGAGATAGAGAGTCGGTTAAATGGGGAAAGAATTGCAGTTTTGTGGGGTCACAAATATGCGCCTTTCAGATTTTTGAAAAAGTTCATGGCTTACTAGATATTTCGAAAAAAACAAATTTCGGCTATTTTAAAAATTGTCCCTAACTCCATTATAAGCTGTTTTAGACAAAAGGTTTTCAGATAAAAGTTGTAGATAATCACATCCTTAATGAGACTGTGCTCTCCGTTTTCTTCTAAAGCCTGTCATTTTTGACATATGACACAAACATATGTTTTTTTTAAATGGAAACCATAGTTGGCAATGACTTCATAAAAAGCGCCATTTTTTAAGCTTTTCAGCGATATAAGCTAAAATATGTTTTCTTCGAAAAATTGCTGAGTTATAGCCCATTCTTATAATTTTTAAACAACTTCACTTAGTTAGCCATGAAAACAAGTTTAATCGTCTTTGCTCTCGGAAATGTGAAGCTGTCATATCCAAATTTTGTAAATTAAAATAAGCAAAAATTGTAAAAATTAATTTTTCAAATGCAGAAAAGCGTGTAGGATTATTGGTTCAACTTTTCTTGACCATACATTTTCGTTCATACATACGTTAACCGGTGAATGTTACGTTTTTTAGAGAACGGGTTTCAAGACATGTTAGAAAAGTTACATTTAGTTATAGCCAATTCTGATCTTTCTTGATTAATTTCAATTGGATTGCATGGTATTCCTATTCTATTATGATTGATAAAACTTATAAAAAGTTAGAATATATTACTAAACGGTTCCTTGCAATTTACAATACACAAATTAAAACTTAAAAAATAATATCACTGCATACACTTTAAGTTATTTTAGAAAATCCGCCATTGTTTTAAGTTGCATCTTTTTAAAACTGAATAACTACCTATTCTCATAGAAGAACGGGTGGACTTAATTAAACTTCTCTCGTACCGCCACTTCAAGTGCCTCTCTTAATTCACAAATTCTTTTGTAAACCTTATTGTTTACCATACCGCATAAAAAAAGTCTAAAATGGATTGGTCAGGTGATCGAGGAGGCCCATGCAATTGGTCCACCTCTTTCTATTCCTGAGTTTGCATAATTATGATGTAAATAATTTTTAACATTTCTTTCATTATGAGGGGGGGGGTCGTAATAAAAGTCATGTTGGGACCACTCTATTGATGCGGGAGTATCTACACGCTTTTCTTCATTTGAAAAATTCATATTTACAATTTTTGTTTATTTTAATTTACAAAATTTGGATGTGACAGCTTCACATTTCTGAGAGCAAAGACGATTAAACCTGTTTCCATGGCTAACTAAGTAAAATTGTTTAAAAATGATAAGAATTAGCCATAACTCGACGATAAGATATTAGCTATAAGTCATGGCCAACTATGATTTCCATTTAAAAAAACATATGTTTGTGTCATATGTCAAAAATGACAGGCTTTAGAAGAAAACGAAGGGCACAGTCTCGTTATGGATGTGATTATCTACAACTTTTATCTGGAAACTTTTTGTCTAAAAGATCGCGCACACTATACCTACACGGACCAGTACGGACCAGCACAGCACAAACCTGCATCCTGCATGACATCGCACACTTTACCGCCACAGACCAGCAACATAAGCGAGAGTTTCGAAAAAAGTACAGTTGTCAAGGCTCAACTACTAGAGCGTGCAACATAGAAGTATTGAAAATGAGTAGTTCAGAGGAAGAAATTATTATTTTAGCCATGTTGTGTGAAGAAGAGGAGGAAGAGAAGGAAGCTAAGAAAAAAAGAAGATTTTGGGTTCACCCTATAAATCAAAAGAGAAAGCAATATGGCGAATTTCATTATTTGTTTCCTGAATTAAAAAGATTCGAAGAAAAGTTTTTCCAATATTTTCGAATGTCACAAATCAAATTTAATTATTTTTTTTTGCTATCGACTCCCATATTGCATCTTTTCTTTCTTGGTCTCTATATATAAAATGCTTGGCTCGTATCGCACAGCTCTGAATACTTTTGTACCAGTAAAATAAGCTTTTTTTCATTCATATTTAAAACGATTTAAAGGTTCGAACAAAAATAAACGAAATCTAACCTACATCATGCAACTTGAGCCAGCTAGCGTACTCGAAATACTGACAAACCCTTCAATATTTGCATGTTTGTGGAGGTGTGCTGGTTCGCCGGTGCGCACATTAGGTCGGACCAGCACGACCAGGCATAAATATTGCCGGTCATATTTGTCCCTGACCGACACGACTGTTTTGACGGTCGTGGCGTGGCGTGCTCACGATGCTGGTACTGGTCTAGTGTGCTCTACTCTATTAAATAACACGGTCACCTTCACCGGTAGATTTTACTGGTCTGGTCCGTGCCGGTCCGTGCAGGTATAGTGTGCGCGATCTTTAAAACAGCTTATAATGGAGCTAGGGACAACTTTTAAAATAGCCGAAATTTGTTTTTTTCGAAATATCTAGTAAGTCATGAACTTTTTCAAAAATCTGAAAGGTGCATATTTATGACCCCACAAAACTGCAATTCTTTCCCCATTTAACCGACTCTCTATCTCCAATAGTTTCCGAGATACCCATAGAGAACATCGTAGGAAACTCACCCCGTATATAACGATAAATAAAACACAAATAACCAACTTTAGTTACACAAAACAACAAAAAGTCAGCTGCTGGTGGTAGGATCTATCATTTTTCCACAAATTTATTTTACTAAAGGTGGTAGAAAAAAGTACTAATATACAGGTATGTCGTAAAACACATCTAATGATAAACTTCCCAAATATTTGAAAATAGAATAGTTCGAGATGACTGCGACTCTCGATGTATAGCAACTGATGATATTGACGTTTTTATTATTTTTTAGTTAATTTTGAGGTTTGAAATTGTCAAATTTTAAGTAGGCAGTGACATTTTCTCCTAAAACATGAATACAATAATTAATAGTAAGATTAACATTAAAAATACAAATTCAAACACTCCTCATAATTATTATAATGGCCGTGGACAAAGTACAGTATTCAACTCAAGACAAGCATAAATTGCTCGTTCAATATATATATATATATATATATATATATATATATATATATATATATATATATATATATATATATATATATATATATATATATATATATATATATATATATATATATATATATATATATATATATATATATATATATATATATATATATATATATATATATATATATATATATATATACTATTTTTAATATTCTATAAAAGTAATTAGAATTGTTTCAATTTTTAAGAGGCTATCTCTGTGATATTAAGTGCTGTTTCACATTTCACGGACCGTCCGCATCCGCGCAGACCATAGTGTATACTTTTAACGTCCGACGGAGTACTTTCACCTGTGTTGTCAACTAACTAACAACTTTAATACCCAATTATTAATAGAAGCATTATTACATTGAAACTAAAAGAAATTCGGACTTCTTGACCATTCTCTTTATTTATTTTTACACAATACTTTGATTAGATGTTTTACTGACATAAATCACTTGTCATCAAGTGTAAACGAATCAGAATCCTAAAACTACTCAGCTTATATACTAGAAGACACCATTCACCCGCAAAACGGCTCTTAGATAAAAGAAATAAATTCGGATTGGACTGCTCGACTTATGCCCGCTAAAACGTATAATTGTTTTGGGTCGCATACATTGTACGAGATCTGGCGCTGCTATAGCATTTGCTAAGAACAACCGCAAACAAGAACAGAAAGAATTTTCACTTGTCAAAGTCAGAATCTTCAAAAATTCTTTTGATGATTCATCAAATCATCAAGATTCTCTTGATGATTCCATATTTGAAAAGAATTTCAGAAAAGATCAGGATAAAATTAACACTGTTTTTAGTAGAGAACCACTCTAAGAAGTACCTTAACAAAAAAAAATCATCAAAACATGAGAAGGAGTGCATCTACGAGATACCTTGCTCTAAATGTACGACTTAACAAACAAATAAATCATAAGCAAAGACGCGAAACAATGAAAGTTAGGTATTGCAGATCATTGTATAGTCCAAGCACCACAGCCTAAAATCGTCGGAAGCCCGGGTTGTCCACAAGGAATCTCATTGGAAAAAGCGTAAATTTAAAGAAGTATGGAAATATAGAAATGTTCATAAAAAAGACATTTACCTACATTTTCTGTCTATGGCGAACAGTAGATGGAAAACTTTGAGCACCTGCAGGACAGCCAGGAAAATACGGAACACTGGCCAATTGACAAATATTCGGGGATCCCTTTTAATGAAGTTTGCCGACGCTGCAAGGACCCGAAAGAAAGGTCCTGCATTTCCTGTGCGGCTGTCGGGCTTCGTATAGGTCCCGGAATCGTTTCTTCTGAGGTTACAGCTTTGTAAAGAAGATGTTGGCGGGAAGAGCATAACGGAAGTCACCCGTTACCTCAATGCCGTGAATTCTCTGCTCTAGTACTAACTCAGTAGATTTAGTATTTAAATTAGTTCACACTTGATACCTTGTGCAAATAAAAATAAATATAGAAAATGGAAGTCCAAAATTCTTTTAGTTTCAATAATAAATCATCGCCTACCACAGTCAAAGAAATAATGATATATACCAATAATACAATACTTCCAATGTTAAGTAAAATAAGTTAAAAGAGGTAGTTAGTTTTAATATAAAACAACATAATGAATACATACCGTAGGACCAACATATTTTAGAATATGCCTGATTGTACCATTCAAATAGAAGAAACTCATCTCGCAATTACTACAAGTGGCTACATACATAGAAATGCACAAGTCCTTGTATGTGGTATGCTGCTGAGGTCCTAGTCGTGATATCTGGGAGGTCCTTGTATACATAAAATGACCTAAAAATATTTCTTAATTATTTTTTCAAATTCATAAGACTAATTATTATTAAGTAGGTACACTGTTTAGATTTACTTAGTGTGTGAGAGAGAGAGAGGTATTGATTTATAGAGCGCGTCAACAGCGAGGGTTTTTTAGCGCTCAATAATAAGCTTTATTTAATATGGAGTTATTTTAAATTATTTTAAGTTAGAAATTAAAGTTTTTTCGTTATGTTGATGTTGTCTAAGAATTTCATAACTTTATTAATCATCGAAATGTTAAAAGGCGCGAAAATATTCTCATAGGTTGTAACGTTTTTAGTTCGTTACATGTCTTTTTTATATATAATATATGATGTCTGGCCTATCATCACCGGATTCCCTCTCGTTCAGGCCGGATAGATTATTTGACGCGTAACTTTTACGTTCCCTGGTCGCCAACCCTGTGATCGTTCTACACAACCCTGTTACTATTCTGTGAAGGCGCGCGCTGTCAACATCGCTTCTGTCAACTCTCCGTGCTTAACCTCACTTTGTTTTGACGCTCTGTTTTATCCCAGCTTTTAGAAATGGTGATTATTTAAATCTTGCTGTATAATCTGAATCAGCTGCTATTTCAAAGCAACAGGTAAAGATGAGATATTATCCTTTTAGATTCGATATTATTATTGAATATTTTTAGGGTAGAGTTACGGATGTCCCAACTTGTATTTGTATTTTGCTGGCACGTTGGCGTCCCTTTTCTTTTGTCCTCCAGAATGTCACATGGAAGAAAGGACATGTTGTTTATTATTTATTGAGCCCTCGGAAGTATTTCTCTCTGAGGTAGGTTTCATTATTGTTTATTAGACCTTGTTTGGTTTTAAACAAGAGTTTCATATTTTTAGGGTCCAAGGTACGGACTGTGTCCAAGGTATGGACTGTGTCCAAGGTACGGGTAGTGCCTTATGTACAGACATTCTCTTAAGTACAGATGTCCTGTGGACGAGTGTCCCCAGTAAGAACGATTTTTTCTTACATCTAAGTGCCACAGCGTGGATGTAGCTTGAGTCCCATGCTGCTTCGTTCCCAGCTGTAAGCTAGTTAGTTACGGCTGTACCAATTTATGGTGTCTCATTCAGGCCCCTTGGTTGTGTTGGATGGCTGAGTACAGAGATGCGAGACCACCTCACGCTGCTACTGTTTGAAGCAAGATTACATAAAGAACAGCTAAGTGTAGATTTACGTTCTAGTTTTTATGTTTTAGATTTTCTATATTTTCAGTCTTAAACAATAACGTACATCTTAAGTAATATCAAAATACAGACTATGTTCAGTGGTTAGATTGTTAAGAACATTCATGTCGATATAATCTTTTAAAATATAATTTAGATCTTAGGTTTCATTGCATTACGTCTTGTATTGGTACAGTATAATCTTTAAAATATAATTTAGATCTTAGGTTTCATTGCATTACGTCTTGTAATGGTATTACTTTTATAGATACTATTGCACTATTTTAATAGATGGATAATCAAACATAGATTCTAGAATCTACAGGTTGTAACATCTTCGATTTAGCATCATATGGAATATATTAAATTAATTAAAGTAATGCTACATTTCATATTTTCTCTTAAACTTTACATGTCCTGTATTTTATCGTAGTTGTTTTCATTGATATTTAGTACGACTCTTACCACCACTTTCTTTGACATATAACCACTATATATTTACTAGCACTCTATAATGTCATGTATCAGTAAAGAACGTCATGAATAAATATAGTCATTAGTTTTAAGTATTATACAACTGTGTTTTCTTTCTCTGTACATGCCTGGCGCCCAATATCTATTTTTTTTGTTTATTGTTCTTAATTAGTTTTCTTTCCAGTGAAATACCTTATCCACGACTGCTCTCCGATGAATAGCTGCCGTTCGCAGTGGTGGTTGTTTAAAAAACGCTACAAGGTAACATCATTAAAGAATCTAGACCTATGGGAGGCAACAGGTAAGCATTCAAAAAGAATGTGTCTCATTGACATTAAGTTGTTGCATAAGGTGCATTTCGGAGGGGGTTCATTTCTGATAATATATGATTTGGTAAGATATGAGTGTCCTGTGACGGTTCTAACAACTTTACAGAAAGATCCGCGTTCAAGAGAATATATATTTTGATACAGATGAAGAAGTGGCATATGTGATCTAAGTTTATTAGTTCCCTCGAGGATGTCCCATTCATTTTGAAATATACTGAAGAACACGTTTTTGTGGAAATTTCTGAAATCGACAACGGATGGAGTTCCTTCAATATTCTGTAAGAGCGTTGCCTCGTTAGCCAGTTTGTCTGCTCGGTCGTTACCGGAAACAGGAAGTGATCCACACAAGCTGTGATTAACTGAATAATGAATACGTCAATCGGATAAACTAAATACGTCAATCCATCCTAATTTATGTCACATACTACTATACCAAATCTCTTTTATTTATATACAAAATGTATTAACAAAAAAAAAATTGGCGCCGGGAATACTAAAATATGTTAATACAGTGAATATCGCTTATAACGATATCGGATTTTACGACATATCGGTTATAGCGACGACATATTAAGGTCCCGACTGAGTTCTATGCTAAATGCATTGAAGAGGTGTTGCCTATAACGACTGTGCATGTAACGACGCACTTATATAGCGACCAATAATTTAACTTAAATTGGTCCAAGTAATCGGTTATAACAACGAGCGATAACGTATGCAACGACGAACTGAAGCCACTGTGTGCCGAAGTTCGGGGAATCCTTTTTATTGTATACGGTAAATCCGCGCTTCATGAAAGTCCTAGAAAAATATGAGACTTCTAATAATCTTTACAAATTAAACATTTTGGAGGCCATTAGTTTTATATGACAAGCTTGGGATCACGTTTCCCAACAGACAATTTCAAGATGTTTTGGTCATGCCGGATTTACCGCCCTGCCGGACGATCACGCAAGTTCTGACGAAGAGGAAAATCTTTCACTTTCAGAGTGAATTAAACTTCAAAGCAAAAGTGACCCCCTGAAGATGAAAACTTACCTCTAGCAAAATGGGTCAGTGAATTACCGATCGCTGACTTTGGTACCCAAGAAAACTGGGAAAATTCTGTAGAAGTCGATGAGGTTGTGACAACCACGGATGAATTGACCGACTCAGAAATTTTGGAAGATCCGCAAGAGAATGAAAAAAGTGATAAAGAGGAGGAGGAACTGGTGATTGACGAATATCATCCACCAGCCATAACAGAGGTTTGTTCAGCAATTAAAACTGTCAGACATTTCTTTGTTTTTAATAATGATAGGGACGATATTGTAAATCCGACTTTAGTGCACCTAGAAAATATGGTTGAAAAGGCGTTCATAAGTTCTAAGAAAATACGAAAACAATCTGTATTGACTGACCTTTTTAAAAAAGTTTAGTTGTTCTGTTTTATGATTAACATTTATTTAAATGTTTAATACATATGTTTGTATACAAATGTACATTAAGTATGTACATACATACATAATATATACATATATGTATGTACATACTCGCATAACATTATATGTATACATACACACATATGTACATATGTATATGTAACAACAGAACGTTATTTTCGTAATAAAAATATATAACCCATTTTGTTACATATTTTTCTATAACGACGCCCGGTTATAACGACCGAAATTAAGCGGTCCGTTCAATGTCGTTATAACCGATATTCACTGTATCTCGAAAACTGCGACTTTGACTGATTTTGATGTTATTACAAATTTTGTTGCAAATATTATTCCTAATCTTAATTTGAAAACCGCGTTTCGCTAGCTACTGTAATTTTGGAGTTACGACTTTTTAAAATTTTTAACCCCTTCTCATACCCCTTTACCAAAGCCCCACCCCCGCCAAAAACTAATGGCCAGATTCTCGGGTGCCACAGTATTTTTGTGCCAAATTTGGTTAAAATCTGTTCAGCGGTTTTTGAATTATCGTGTTACAGACGGCAGACGGACAGACGGACAGACTAACAGACGGACAGACGGACAGACAGACAGACAGACACCATGAAAATATTTTGTATTTAGGTCATTTATGACCCAAATAACTCATTTTGAGTGAAATTAAAAAAACTGTTTTTTTGCTGATCTTAAAAGCCTACCATACCTATTGGTATAGTCGGTTAAATAAGTCCAAAATAACGAAGTTATTTTACTTTGAAAATTTCCAAAAAAAAAGATTTTTGTTGAAATTTTGTCCAAACCACTGATCTTATCTGGATTTTCTTTCTTGTAAATTTAATCTAATACCTATGTTACCATATTATCAAGAAATAATGTTTTATAAAAAAAAATCCAAAAAGTTTTTCAAAAAATTTCGAATTTTCAAAATGTTTTTTGGCGAAAAAACCCTCATGGGCGTGTTTCTGAGCTTGAACTATACTACCAGTTAAAATACTTACACTTATTTGGGACACCTTGTATAAAGTACAAACCGTAGCTGTTGATTAGCTTTTATTTTATAAAAAATATGTGCAACGATATTTCTTAGCAAAATATTTTATCTCAGTATTTAAATTGGGTTTACGTCCTTGCACTGCAGGTGTTCAATCACATCTTACCATAACAAATTTAATTTTCTTTCTTTTTCTCCTCTTTGTGAAAAATTGTCCGGCACATGACTAACACAGATAAGAATGTGATCTTTATACCATTTTTTTTACTATGGAACAGTTAAAGTTATACAGACCGGACCACCGTAGTAGTAACATAGGCAGAACCGGACGAATTAGCGTATGCCCGTCCGCCGGATAAAAAGCAGGCGAAAAAAGGCGATAAAATAAAAATAGGTAGATATGTGATAAGAATGTTACAGAATTTGTATTTATTCGTGTTTTAATAGCCAAAACGAATACATAGATTCTCGCTACAGCTCTCGTGTAAAATTTATTTTTTAAGTAAAATAATGGATGTTTACGAAGTTCGCGAGAAAATTCAAATTGTAAAATGGTATTTCCAAAATAGGTCTTATCGGGATATACAAACAATTTTTCCTCAAACTTTCGTAAACAGGCCAATTCCATCTTTACCTACTATATCAAGAGTTATTAATAATTTTGAAACACATGGGTGCGTGTCCCCACAAAAACACAAAAAGCCTGATGTGTTAATTAATGAAGAACAGGAGTTAAAGCAAGTGTTTGGGGTGGTTTTGTAGGGGAGCATATGATTGGTCCATTTTTTATAGAGGGTAATTTAACTGTCGCAAAGTATTTGGACTTGTTACAGCAGCAGATTGTCCCTAGAATTCGTGAGTTATTGGGAGAAAGATTCCACAATGTCTGGTTTCAACAAGATGGTTGCTCTGTCCACAATGCCCGTATTGTTCAAGAATATTTGAACAATACTTTTCCCAACCGTTTAATTAGTGGATATAGAACTATTTTGTGGCCCGCTAGATCACAAGATCTTTCTCCCAATGATTTCTTTTTGTGGGGTTATGTAATAGGGCTAATAATCTGGACGAGCTTCAAGTAAAAATACGAGAGGCTTTCCAAACTATTAGCCCTAATATGTTAGCCAATGTCAGACGGGGATTTTACGACAGCCTAGGCTTCTGTCTAGCACAAGAAGGTGGTCTTTTTGAACACTTGTTATAACTTTTTTTTATTTAGAGTAATATTTTAGTTTTTTTCGGGTTTAGAGAATTTATTTATTTTTAATTTTGGCTTGTAAACACACTCAAATAATAAATATTTAAGTATTTTTATTTTAAATGTTACCTTAAATGAAGGTAAACACTTAAAATGAAAATAAATACTCGGCACTCCTCGCGTCGTATTCCTTGTGTCACGACCGACCCGTCCTAGCACAACTGCAACTGCGTAGTGCCTGACCAGCCGACTAGCCGGCATCGGCAGTGAATCTCTAGTACGAACGCAAATAGGGTAAACGTAAATTCGTCCGGCAACTTGCTATGTTACTAGTAGCCTGGTCTTCTCTGTATAGATAGTAAACATATCAAATAGTGCAAATAATTTGAAAATAATGGTATGTTGTTTTATTAGGAGTAAAAATAGCATCTTTCGTGGCGAGGCTATACTTTTGACGACGTACTGCCGAGGCACAAAAAGTTATTTTTCAAACGCCACAAGTAAGTTTTTAAACAAATTCAAACGTTCCAATTAATATAAGAAGATTTAAAAGTCAAACCTTGTATTTAATTATAATCGAGAAGCTATGGTTATGCTCGTTGAATATGACACTTTATGTCAGTGTAATAATATATTTTCGTACTTTTGTGCTTAGGCGTAAAAGTGCTTTACTTTTATACCTGGGCGTTAAAATGACTTTCAGAGTTAATTTACTTAATTTAAATTGAAATTAAGTAAAATAACTTTGTTATTTTGGACTTAATTCAAAAACGTTAAAGAGAAAATATGTATCATTTATCGAGATCTACCAGCATCAGCCCTGTAAATATTTGCACTTATTTAAGGCTCACCCCTGTATAAAGAATACTCGCTATTTTTTGTAGTTTGGTACAAAGTGTCCCATTAAAAAAGTGAAGATTCTCTTTATTTTCTGATAGTCTTTTGTTTATTTTTATTTCACTTTCTGGCGGACTAAATATCTCTTAAAACCCTGTACAGGGTGGGTCAAATTCGACGCTTTTAAATGGAAACAACCTTTTCTATAGGAGATAGACAAAAACTAATATCGATGTCTGGAGCTCAATTTTTGTCAAAAACATGATGGTGCAAACCGCATATCGATATCTGTTATCGTTTCGGAGTTACGGGGTGTTTTTCAAAAATATGCATTTTTAACAAATCGCTGTAACTTTTTTGCTATGGAAAATTCTGTATTTCTATGAAAACATTTCCAAAGCACCTTTTTACGTAGAATTTAATGGTTTAAGTATAATTTTTTTAAAATTAATAATTTAAGAGTTATCAACAGAAAATTTGATTTTTTGTAAAATTTTATTTTTAATTAACTGAAAAGAATTTAAAATTGCCTTTCCAAAAATGTAGCACACTTGATATTTTGTTATAATCCCCTTCGAAATACAGAATTTTTAAAAGTTCGCCACTTTTAACTAGTAGGCTTTGGACCCCTTATTGATGATATACCTCTAAGGGAACTCGAAACCATATTTTTCCAGCAAGACGACGCACCGCCCCTGAACGCTGAAGTTATCAGCAAATTTTTGCAGCCAATTTCAAGAATAATTACATAGCTAACCAAGATCCCAGCCGTTGGTCGTCGAGGCCGCCTGACTTAGTGCCCATGGATCTAATCCTATGGATATATTTGCGGAAGAATAAAGTTTTCTTATTGGCTTATTCTTTTGTATAATCTAGACAAAAATTAGAAATACTTAGCAGATATGAGAGGGTATCTTTCACCCCCACTGAGTTAATGAATTCCGCGGGAAATGTTCAAAAACTGTCCCGTCTGTCCATAACAGAAGACGGTTGATATGTCGAACACTAAGGTCGAACACCTGTAGCAAAATCTCATGTCTTGGTTTGCTATTTATTTTTATTGTTATTAGGTATAGTTTAAATGTGTTGATGTTGGTTAAATATATTTTAAATTGTTATAAAATTCTGCATCTCTCATAGCAAATATTATTTTCGTTTTAATTGATGCTCACACTTTTTTGCATTACAGCCGGTGCTGTTCAAAGCCTACTGATTTAAAGCGGGCGAATTTTTATATACTCTATATCTCGAAGAGGAATCGAGCAAAATATCAAGTGTGTTATATTTTTGGAAAGGTAATTTTAAATTCTTTTCAATAAATTAAAAATATACAGGGTGTCCCATATAAAAAATCAAATTTTCTGTTGATAATTCTTAAATTATTATTTTTAAAAAATTATACTTAAACAATTAAATTCTACGTAAAAAGATGCTTTGGAAACGTTTTCACAGAAATACAAAATTTTCCATAGCAAAAAAGTTACAGCGATTTGTTAAAAATGCACATTTTTGAAAAACACCCCGTAACTCCGAAACGGTAACAGATATTGATGTGCGGATTTCACCATCATGTTTTTGATGAAAATTGAGCTCCAGACACCGATATTAGTTTTCGTCTATTTCCTATAGAAAAGGGTGTTTCCATTTAAAAGCGTCGAATTTGACCCACCCTGTACAATTATGTATTTTGTACTTGAGTATACGTAGGGTCTACGACCTCTCTCTGTGTCACAAAGGTATATGAGATAAGACTACTTTAAAACTAGCACATTTATGAAATTTTTAAAATCTGATGGATAAAACCGAAGATAAAACTAAATTGTCTGAAATATTATTTATGTGTTTGGCTTTGGCAACAAATCTTTGTATAAGAAATGACACACAACAATACATTTTATTAACCCTGTTGAATAGATCGTAATTACATTTAAAGAACTCAATGTTATAAATAAAAGTGTAAAATATTTTAAAATATTGTGAGATCGTAAGTACGCATCATCATACGATATCATCGAAAAAAAAATAAAGTCCGGTTGGTTGTAGCTAACATTTCTAAATGACAGCGACCTTTATTTCCAAGCCATCTCTGACGACGTTTTTTGCGATCATATCGTATTTATGAATTGACTAATTCTTAAAAGCAAATTGAAATGTGTTCTTAAATATTTATATAAAAAATTATTTTACCTACTTTCACTAATCCTCCAAAGACTAGAGTTTTGACTACGCATAAGAAGATACATCGGCTTCAATGGCTCGCTGTCAATATATTCGATTACTACCCTGTCTAAATTTTTGTCTGTCAAAATGATCTTTCCGGTTTGGTCCACGCTTACCTCAAAGCTTCGCCATTCGTCATCGGATATGATATTTGAGAAAGCCTAGAACAAATGATTAGAGAAGAAAGATTAGAAAAAGATTAGAAAAAATAAGGGAAGGAAGAAAATTAACAAATGATATATCATTCATTCGAAGCAGAAAATGTTTACAAATTATTTGAAAACCACTGGGAAATAATTAAAAGCCGATCACACTGATGTAATTTTAAACTAAGTACAACAATAATAAGACATTGAACATAAGTTTCTGCCTTGTTTTAATATATAAAATGTGAACGTGTACGGTGTGTCTTTAATTATATTTTTGTCTGATAATGCTCGTAAGTATGAGCGAAATACGTTGAAAAACTAATTGGGGCATCTCCGTTAATATTTACTTAATAATTTAAGTAATATTAGTTAAGAAAGTTTAAGTAATTATAGTTAATATTAAGTAAAATGTTTGAAATTTAATTCTCTATCTATCGCAAAAATCCAAGATGGCGGTCGTTTTTTCAAACTTCCCCCACTGTGACCGAATGGGACATTTGAAGGGTTAAGATCATTATCTACATCTACACATTCCCCTGAGATTGGTTAATTACTAATTTTTTTCATCTCAACTTCCAAATCAAGGCTAATATCCTTTAATATCTATAATACAGGGTGAGTTTTAAATAAGTGCAAATATTTTTAAGGGTAGTATATTTCGACCCCAGAAACTCGATTATGAGGTTTTTATCGAGAATTTTTTTAGATTTTAGTTAAAAACATAATTTCTTCACAATATGGCAATATAGGTGGTAGATTACATTTACAAGAAAGAAAACCCAGAAAACATATAACGGTTCTCAAAATTTAAGCAAAAATTATTTTTTTTAAATTTTAAGTATTTATTATCGAGATCTACCAGCCCTTAAAATATTTGCACTTATATAAGACTCGCCCTGTATAATAAATATTTGGTTATATGTGAAAGCATAGTGAAATAAAGGAGTTATTCATAATACATACATATTTTCTATATTTGACTGATTATCTGTGATTATTTAACTTGATGCAAATATTCATTCTTAAGGGTTAAACGGGCTATTACAAAGAAAGATGTATCCATAAAACGGCTTCTTATTGTAAATTTTGAGAGACATTAAGGTTAAATTCATCTTTTTTAAACAAAAACCGATAAGCCCTTTATTCAGTGACATATTATTTATGTTACCAACTGAATAAAATATAACTAAAAAGTTCTTTTAACTTATTCTATTTTAGTTTGATGTAATTCTATTGATAACTATAACTCCAAAAGAATAGTATGATATATGTTAATATGGAAGATGTAAGACATATAAACGGTGCTATTAAGTGGAAAACGAGAAAATTAGAAAAAAAATAATTTGCCATTTTTTAAATTTGAGAGAAGAATATTTCTATTTGGATTATTACGTACAAAATTTATAAAACTAAAAATACTGACATCATAAATCTTAGTCATTCTCCTAAATATAAACACAAAAAGCAGATGGACTAGCTTTTATTTCCTTGATCGTAAAATTATGCTAGATTTCCTCTGTCCCTGTTTTAATGGATTGTCAGAATACATAAAACTGGGAGTATGAAATTTTTGAGCTATTTTAGACCTAAGAACAACATCAAAATATGTCAGAAACTTCTTGAAGTCGATATATTTTAAGATATTCTTAATAATCACCTCTACCAAATTAAGATATAATATATGATCTTATAAAAATTTCAATTTTGAAGATACCTATAAATATGTTTCATTCAGATAATGATCTATATATGGAAATTTTTACGTACTCGTTTGTATCACACATAACATGTGTAATTCAAACATACAATTGGAACTAGTTATTTAATTAGAGTTAGTAAAGCTTCGTTCGGAACCTCGCAATAGTGGTTTCAATTAGCATAGAAGTTTGTTCCTCTAATTTGAATGTAAGCATTCAGAAATTCTGTCAATAACGACAACCAAAAAGTAAAGAGGCAACAAAGTAATGAGATTTTTGAATGTCCGGAGTGCGGAAGAGAGATAACATCACGTATCGCGCTTTTCCTTGGGGCACCGGGAATTGTATTTTACCCCTTACTTCTACATGCGGGGCTCTGTAGAAGTGGACCGACTGTCCCTAGCGACTCATAGGAACACTATGAGATCTGATAATAATAGTAATAAAAACATCACCGGTGAAGCTGTGGGGAAACCCCCTAGCGACACTGGGAACAGTAACAATGAAAGTTCCAAGGGGCCAAACCCAAAGAGAACTACAGGAGAGGTGGCTGACACTTGCGTGAGACCATCCTCCGCAAGTGGCATACAAGCTACCACCTCCTCCAAGGGTCGGGAGCCTACCTCCTACCTCTAAACACGACAGGCGACACAAGCTACCGTTTCGTCTACCCGGCCTGGGTCGTAGCTCCTCGACTGTGAGGGACACGGGTCTCCGTAGGAAGTCCTAGGACTGTATGATGAGTTATAACTCAAGAAAGGGAGACACAATAGATCTCTAAGGTCGCAGAGATTAACCCCCCTCCCACTTATTCTAATTCTAATCGCGCTTTTCAGTCACAGAAAAGCTCATGAAAGAAAACGCCTTGCCTAATCTTTTGATGCGTGTCAAATATTCGTCAGTGAGTAATGGCAGTAAGTAAGTAAGCATTCAGAACGCTAAAATTAGTGGTAGGAAATTTTAATTAGTAAAAAACCATTACCAAAAATTACCAAACTTTTAACTTTTCCACTAATTATACTTCAAAATTTGCGAGGAATGTCATTTTGGTCTTTTGATTATCATCCGTCAAGAGAAAATGTGGTTAGAAATCAAAAGTATTTTGTTTTCTAAGCTAAATATTAGGCTTTCTCTATTGATTCCTTTCTCTATAGATATTCTATTAATTTTAATTGTATATTTTTGACATATGTGTGAATAATCGTAAACTAAAAAGTATAAAGTGTAGGTAATTGAAACCCCTAATTTATTCCACTAATTGCGAGGTTCTGAATGAAGCTTAAGTATAAGCTTCACGTTCTTAAGCTAAAATATTAATTATACTTAATCTCGCCGGATGTAAAACAGTGGGTGGCTAACAAATCTCTAGAATAGTGGAGAAATTCACTAGTACAAATAACGACAAAGCATTCATAGTAGGACATAGATAAATGAAACAAGTTTAGATTGGAAAGTGCTCAATGTAAATACTATTTGGCGCTATTCTTGCAACGGTCGCGACCCAAAGCTTTTGATAATTTCGAAGCGGTTCGGCTGTTTCCGGAATTATATCGCCAAATATATTGTTTATTAAAATTTATTATTATTATCTGTTAATTTTATAAATAAAACACAGTGTGTTGCATATAAGAAACTTTATTTTGTATAAGGACATGTATGAAATACCTATGGAACCAGGGCCGTCCTTAGACTGCTGGCCGCGTGGAGCAAACCCGAAAAAATAAGCCCCTCCCCCCCTACAGACAATCGTTTTTTTTTATTAGTGCGAAGTTTGATCCGAAGAATCAAGTGTGAAAAGAAAATTATGAAAGTTGCGCCACAGATGGTAAGAAATAATATCAAACGCTTTCCGAAAAAAAAAAGAAATAAATATTGCAAGATTTTCAGAATTAGCATTTAAATTTTGTATTTAAAAGGAGCGTCACATGGTACCTAACAAGAATAAAAAAACCTTATAAGGTACATTAGCCAAACTAACACCTAAAACTAGGTAATATAAATTATTATAAATTATTAACAAAACAAAATTCGTAATAAATACATAGACATAATGAGAGAGAAACAAAATTCCTAACATGGATAAAACTAAAACTTTTTTCTTGCTTTTTTTCGGCAAACTCTGAAATAAAATCGTCGATGTTTAGAGTGTTCGCTATTTCGTGCTCAATAGATATTAAGGATAATCTTAATCGTTCTTGTGTCATACTACTTGATCTCAGGTAATTCTCAATTATTTTGAGTTTAGAAAAACTTCTCTCTCCGGTTGCCATTGAAACCGGCAGCGTTAATAACATTCTTATAGAGATGTAAATATTTGGAAAGTTTCCAATCAGATCGTGAATTTTTAAATATTTTAGTATTTGTTTTGGACAACTAAAGTTTTCGGCATTATCTAGTGTTATTAGAGCAATTAGAGCTAAAATCTCGCCCGAAGCTCTAGGCCATTAATATCATGTTTGTCTCCGTCCGTTAAATAGAGATGAAGATCCATACAATGATTTGTTATTTCCTCTCGGTTGATATTCCTGAGAACTGTGAAGTCGTATAAAAACGAAAAATAGTCCGAGTGAGCTTTTAACAGGTCAAACCTTTCCTGGAGAGTCTCATGGATTGTATCCAGAACAACAAAGAAAAATTCGATTTTAAACTTTTCCTGTGGATCTAAAATTGGCTCATCCACTGATTCATACAAAAACTGCCTAGTTTTTTTTTTTCTGGGACGAGCTCTAATGTTAGTAAAAACTGCTTCAATTTTCAGCTCTTCTGCCAGCTCTGCAGCATCCACTAATATTTCTCTAAAATGGCTGTCAGTCCTTATTTTGACAAAATAGTCGTCGATAGCTTTTAGAGCTTTTGTGGACTCAATGATATCGAGTTTCTCCTTCTGAAGCAGTTTACTAGTTGCATTTATACTGTTGGAAATTTCGTAACGAAAATGACCATTTTTCCAAAATGTAGTATTGACGTACCGAATTTGGTCAAAATGTACCGAATTCAGTACAATTGTACCGAAACGGCCGCCCTCAAATTTGGCCGCCTGGAGCAACTGCTCCTCTGCTTCATACCTCAGGACGGCCCTGATAGAACATTGGAAACCGACGTTAGGCCACGATGGTTTTTGCAGTTTACACAGCTTTTAAGTTTTAATTTATTAAATTTAATGTCACTTTTTCACAATTATCAGGGGTTTGAGTAAATAAAATTAAATTAAACTTACAAGATAGCAACATGTAATTACTTTGAAAATGGACACATGGAAAATTTAAACACTTTTCAGTATTTTTTGAATGCGGGCAGTTTAAATTTTGAAAAATGTTATAATTTTTGAAGATTCTGACTTTGACAAGAGAATGTTTTTTTCTGTTGTTGTTTGCTTAGGTTAGGTTAGGTTAATCTTAGCAACCGCTATAGCAGCGCAAGATCCCGTACATCTTTGAATAAGAAGACTAAGGAAGGAGCATAATGCAATCCATGTATTCATGCATGGTGGGCGGATAAAGCACTCTAGGGTGGGGATCCTTGACAGTTCTGTTTGACGATTCATTTGACACCTTTGAATTTGATTTGAAATTTTGTGGATTTGTCAGTCTTTACGGAGCTTATTTTTTGTTATTTATTATTTATTCTACTACTGATAGTTGTATAAAGTTAGTAAATCTAGATGGAAATTGTGACAGAACTTAAATTAACAGCGATTTATCGAAAAAGACTCTAAAATAGTTGGTTGTGTAGCGTGCCGTAGATCTCAGCAAAAATCGAGTGAAATAATGGAACAACTTTTCGCTAGTAAGTGACTATATAATATACATACGTGTAGTAAACCGATCATTTATGAAATTCACTTAAATTAAGTAATTATATATTTTTTCTTGCATTTTTGCTTTTATTTACTACTTGTCAAAGATTAGATGTCAAAGAATTTAGATACGTCAATTTGACTTACCTGCTTCAGTAGCGTATCGGATGTTTATGGTTATAAATAATTATTATAACTTATCTATTTTTATTTGAATTTTATATTTTTATAACAATTTTAATAACTACCAACAAACCAAACCAAACCATTTTTTCACAACGTAAAATAAAAAAAAATATTGGGTCTACCCCACGTCTACCCTACATCATAGTATTACATTTTTTAAATAAAATTAGAAGGCACTGATAAACCGGAATTTAAGTCGGCCATATTTGAGGCCCATCGCGGTGGACCTAAGATTTTTGATATGCTCCTTCCTTAGTCTTCTTATTCAAAGCCGTACATGCATCTTCGTATGCGACCCAAAACAATTATACGTTTTAGCGGGAAGCCGAGCATTCCAATCTAAATTTATTTCCTTTTTCTATGGATATACCAAAAATTTGATAAAGACATAATTAATGAAGTTGTCAAAAAATTGTCAATTGAATAGTTGTTTACTGTTAATATCCGAGGATTCAAAAGGAGAAAAAACTATGATTCTGATTGCACACTGATTTGAGTATTTACTTCTTATGCTCAGTCAGGCGGCACTTAAGGCACTTAATTAAGAGCCCAAACGAATCATCGAGACGAAAGCAACAGGAATAAATTATTCTGGGTGTCGGGCTACAGCTATGGCCACAGCGGCATCCAAGGCAACGAAAAATCGTATGACCTAGCAAGGCAAGTATCATTGGAATCTTATCTTGGTCCAGAGCCAATACTCGAAATACCCAAATGTATCACCCGTAGTGCAGTAAAACTCTGAATCAGGAAAATGCACAATGTCCACTGGAAAAATAGAGAGAAGCATAGGGATCATAATAAAGCCTTCATCCAAAGATATAATTCTAAAACAGTAAAGGAACTGCTAATACTTATAAAATGCAAAATGCTTGCAAAAATAAAGTACAGATTATATACAGGACGGTCTCTTTTTATTGGAAAAAATACCTACTTCGTATGACTTCAGTTTTGTTGTCGAATAGTCTGTCTCGTTGTCCAGCATGTGAAACTTTGAAAGGTAAACGGTTCTCCTGCTCATGTGGAAGTAATAGCAGGGATAACTTCGAGGATTCCAACCTGAGCACAGGAATATTTCCACCGGTCCCCACGACCTGACGGAGAATCCATTGCTTTGTGCAGCCTCTATATCGTACCTATGTTCGAATTCTTTGGTGTTGTTGGATATCAAGATGGTAGTTAAATCTGAAATAAAACAAACTAATTTAGGTCAAATAACAGACAGGACATAAAGATTTAATAAAATCTGTCAATAATGGGTAGATTTCGTAATAATAAAATTAGGATGTCACATCTGTAATTTAAGATATTTAAGGAAGAATTAACCCTTATCTCGGGAATGGGGTGTTGAGGTATCGAATTGACATTAAAATCATATGATCAGGCTTGCCATAAGTTTCTCAAAAATATATGTCACTCTATAGTTTTCATTAAAAAAAGTTTTCATTAAAAAATCATTATTAGTAGGCAATGATTGATGATAATAAAAGAAACTAAAGAATTATTAAAAGTATATACTGCTAGCTGTGTCCTGTTTTATTTTGGAAGCCACTAATAAATTATTCATATATCATGGAAACTTAACTCTCTACCGCTATTTGTAAATCTTGGAAGCTATCATACCGGAACTTTTAGATATTTTTTATAGATAATGTAACGTGAAATATGCAAGAACCGCAAATATGCAAGAACAGCAAGATGGGATTCCCCCTCACAACTTCGAAAATATTAGAATTTTGTTAAATGACTATTTCCCAAATCAATGAATTGGGATCAATGGACACATACGATAGCCTCTCTGATCCCCGGATTTGTCCGTTCTCAATTTTTGTAGTTGGGGATTTTTGAAATATGAAATACATCGTGGCAACTACAACAATGTCGAAAACCTCAAAAATGCTATTAGGCAAGCTTTTAGATATTTGCAAACCCATGCCTTTATAATAAATCCCGTTATAAAAAAAAGAAGAAAAACATATTCAGAGATTCAGTGGTAACAGTTTAAAAGTAAATTATTTCAGTCTCATATAAAATTTTAATATGTGTATGACTATTTTGGTAAAAATCATTTTGATTTTTTTTTGTTATATATCACGGCCTACTAGTAAAAAACGATATCTTTTAAAAATAAATATAGAGTGTTATATATTTTTGAGAAGCTCATAGAAAGACAGATCATATGATTTATAAATATACAGGGTATTCCATTTGAAATAACATATCTTTGGTTCATATTTTCAAAAACATTTTTTTCATAGAAAAACAGAGTACAGTACTGTATTCTACGTAAAAAGTTCTACAAGAATCAGTTTTCACCTTCTCGATACTTTTCACAATAACGAAGATACGGGGGCTGTCCCAAATTGCAAAATTCTCAAAAAGACCTGTCGCTCAGAAATGAAGAGGGCTATGAATTTTTTTTTGACATCATCTTCCGTTTGACAAAAAAGTGGGACCGATTTGTGCAAACCGCATCCTCCTATCTTTACTAATAACGGAGATACCGTACGATTTCAACCAAAGCGTAAAAAAAATACGGTCCTTTAACTTTATGCCTAAAAAACATATACATATTTCGATAATCTCAAGAGAATCAAAATTTGGATCTTTTCCGTTGTCCTAGAACAATAAAATTTGGCAAGTAATGCCGACTTATGCCACAAGTATAGGAAACAATCTGAAAACTACACATTTGTAATTAAATCATAAATTCCTTAACTATTTATAACCATGTATTATAATAATTATTCACATTTTTATGAGGTATTCAAAAATATCTATTTTTAAATAATAACAATTCACTATTATTTAAAACTATGTATTGCTCATTCATACAAAAATGGCGAAATACCCATAGGACTATTTTGGATAGATGCATCCGCCTCATAGGTATTAGACATTATTTTAAAAAAATATTACCTATAGGCCAGTGCAAATAATTTTGAAGTTGTAAAAATTTTTAGAAAGCTGCGACCATTGAAAATAGTTAGCCTTAGTAACCCTTATTAACATACTAAAAGCCCCCATTTGTCCGATGTGTGCGTCATCAAAAAAAATCGGCCGCTATCTTGAATTTTGGTACTTTTTGGGAAAAAATGTAAATAACTCGTAAACGGTGCGTTATAGCGAAAAACTTTGAGAGGTAAAAATTAAAGGGAATAAAAAACTCTATCAGAATCAATAAAGAATAGTTTATTATCCTAACGCAGTGACGTACAAAACTTTTTTGAAAATCGAGCAATTTTTAAAAGGAATCACCGAAATGCAAATTAATATTTTTTTAAGCTTATTAACAAATAACATGGATATTTAGCATCAATTCAACTAAATACAGTCCTTGTGACATTTTCAAGAAATATTTATTGGTGGTTTAATAATATTTCAAAATTAACAAAAATTGTCAAAGCTATCCTTTACTAAATACATATGTACTAATAATGTGCGAAAGCAGCCTCCACCTTGTTCCGGTCGGGCCTATTTGCACTTATACCAAGGTCTTTTTGTTACCATTTTGTTAACAACTTGTTTTTAAAAATACATTGACAGTTTGAAAAATTAGGCTACAGGTTGGAAGAAAAAAATAAAATGTAATAAATTACTTGCGAATATCTTTTTGACATAAATATCATCTACGATCTTAACCTAAGATCTTAACACTTATTTATTATGAGAAATACATTATAAACCCCTACAAATCGAATAACAATAATTCAAATTATGACCATTTTAATAAAAATGTGTTACCAACTTGTAACCTAACTTTTCAAACAGTCATCTCTAGAAAAAAAAATGAAATTTACAATTTTATTCGATTTGTTCTTCATCGACCGATATTTGTTTGTTCTCACAAGAAATGCCATTACAGTTACCACACAAGCATGAACATGGCATATTGGATTTTAAACATGTATCATTGCGATTAAAAAAAATAGTACAACAAAATATGATTTAACTGCTGGTCTATATTCTTGTGTCAGTGTCACTTAATTTTTAAAAAATGCCTTTAACTTCAGAGCAAAAATCGATTATATTTACGCGATTAAGGGATGGGGTTCCCATAAGGGACATTGCAGATGCATTAGGGATAAACAAAAAAACAGTGTTGTTGGCTAAATCCAAAAAAAAATCAATATAATTCAAATATCATTATAGACCAGGAGTTCCATCTGGGACTACTAATTCTTGTAGTACTTTTTTTTGATCGCAATGGTACATAATTTAGTACATAGTAAATCATTTTCAAAACAAATGCTGGTGCCACTGCGTTTGACATTGTTGTTGGAACTAAGGTATCCGTTTTTTTACTCCATCCACATTCTGTTGCCTCTTCTCTGTTATTTAGCTAATACTGCATTTATAAATAGGTCCTATAATAATGATTTTCAGCTGCGTTAGTTGTTGGGGGTAAGGTAGCTAAATCAAAATGTTTACTATAAGTACCTGACGAGATGTAAGGGCTTTATATTTAAAATACCTCAACTGATCTAAATCTTTTGCTAGCCTATGTCGACCATATAATGAAAATATGAATGTATTTCCAGCTTCGACTAACTCAGATTTTTGTGCTGCAGGATCTAAAAAAATGGATGTAATTTGTCGCAGATGAGAATCTTTTTGCAACGTTTTGACAGTCGCCAGTTTACATTACATTTTATTTTTTTCTTCCAACCTGTAGCCTAATTTTTCAAACTGTCACTGTATTTTTAAAAACAAGTTTTTTACAAAATGGTAACAATAAGACCTTGGCTTAAGTGCAAATAGCCCCGACCGGGACAAGGTGGAGACTGCTTTCGCACATTATTAGTACACATGTATTTAGTAAAGGATAGCTTTTACAATTTTTGTTAATTTTGAAATATTATTAACCCACCAATAAAAAATATTTCTTGAAAATGTCACAAGGATTGTATTTCAATTGAATTGATGCTAAATATCCATGTTATTTGTTAATAAGCTTAAAAAATTAGTAATTTGCATTTCTGTGATTCCTTTTAAAAATTGCTCGATTTTCAAAATTTTTTTGTACGTCACTGCGTCAGAATAATAAACTATTCTTTATTGATTCTGATAGAGTTTTTCATTCTCTTTAATTTTTACCTCTTGAAGTTTTTCGCTATAACAAACCGTTTTCCAGTTATTTACATTTTTTCCCAAAAAGTACCAAAATTCAAGATGGCGGTCGATTTTTTTTGATGACGCACACATCGGACAAATGGGGACTTTTAGTATGTTAATAAGGGTTACTAAGGCTAATTTTTTCAATGGTCGCAGCTTTCTAAAAATTTTTGCAATTTCAACATGGTGAAAGTCATATCTGCACTGGGGTACTATCTATATTCCTAAATATTCCGCCACAAAAATCAAAATAAAATAAAGTAGTTTGACAGGAAATCAATTTTGAAATTCGATTACTGTAACTATGTCTGTTTTTTAATAAGTAAAAGCTTCAAAGAGAAATAATCTTTTTAAATGTTCTTTTTAAATGATTAGCAGTTGTACCTAATGGAAAATTTCGAAACATCGAAACATATTTCCCGTTGAAAATTTAGATAAACCAAATTAAATTGCTGTGCATCTGCACCAGTCAGATGTACACAATAAAAAGCATATCGAGGCTATTGGATATAAATAGACGGTGACTTAATAATCAGTTAAAATTTTACTGTATGTACATATTATGTATCAGTTTCGAAATGATATTTACAGATTATATTATAAGCCATATTGTCAATTAACAACAGCTTTTTATTGAGTGAGGACAATTACAGATAGAGAAATGAACAGTGAACCAAAGACGCTTCGATAACAAATAAGATAATCAATAAAATGCATGAACCAAATGAAATATTAATCGATATTAACAGTTTAATAGAAAGGTTGTACAGGGTATCACATTTTCATATTTTATAGGGTTTCTCGTGTAAAAACTATTCATTTATTAATGCTAAAACGAAGCTGACTCACAGTTTTCTCTACTATTAATATATATTCTATATTAAAGAAAAGGATTTCTATTAAAAGGATAATCCAATTCCGGTGTAATTTTTATTAACGTATGTAGTACACATCTTCAGGACTGCTCGCAAACAAATCTATATGACAATTTTTAAGCTATAAAAGTTCATCAGTACCAAAAAACAATAACAGCTGCAGGTATATTAGCCTAAATTAGCTCACCTTTGAAT